AAAGTCAAGGGGTCTGAATACTTTCCGAAGGCAACCATAGCCCATGGTTTACAAGGCAGGTTGAAGCAATGTTCTTCCTTTCAGACTAAACTATTATGGGATGTTGTAGCATACCAAGCAGAAGGCAGTAGGGGGGGGGGGGGGGGGGGGTTAATACTGAGGGGGTGTGGTCTACTCTAGATCAATAACCGTCGTACTGTAGTCTACTGTAAAAGTCAAAACAGAGTCGGAGCAGCGGAGACAGAACACTGATCCATGCTGGATTGATTTCAATCCATGTATCGGGGAAATCCGACATTTCATGCTCTATGCTTAGCTCAGACGCACCGTAGAGCTGCAGGAGGAAATTGGCGACATATTTGTTGTGGATAGGTACTCTGAAAGACTGAGGCCTGTAATAACTGTTTGCGTTTTGTTTCGGACAAGACGTAGCTACAGCAGATTTTCTCTTATTGAGTTTTGAAGGAATAACAACGATCCATTTATCCGGAGACTATTTGTCCTGGAGCTTAATTAACAAGTGATATGTCTCTAATGGACGTGGAATGAAGGACTTTTCCACATTAACGAAATGTCCTCTATATATGAGGGAAAAGACAGCCGTCTTGCATTTGAGGTTCTCCTATATTCAGGATTGGGGGTACCTTGCATAACTGGGCTTTGTGTGTGGGAGAATGATGAGAGCAGTCCATTGAACTGCGCTGCCTGCATCTAAAGACGTAAGTTGGCTATCCTATAAAAATAATAACATCAAACCGATGTTTTATATTAGTCTAGATGCAGTACCATTTCCATCATTAATGACGATTTAGCCTAACTGTAAATTTAGTCTGGAATAATTGCATGCGTTTCAATTAGGCTGTATTGCGCACAAGGTTCCCAATTTCCATTTCTTAACATTTCATTGTGATGAATTAATATATTAATCAATTTTTATTAACCTATGACACAATTTGACAGCGTAATGTGCGCTTGGACGGATTTCCTTATCCTGCCTTATCATATTCAAAATGAATCTTATCTAGCAGTCACTAAAACCGTTGTGAAGCAAGCAAGAATAACTAAGTACTTCCGGAATTTTGGAATCCTTCAGAATAAGAGTCCCGTTCTGTATACTTGTTTTGTTTATTTATTTTTTGGGGGGGAGGCCGGTAGAGCAGCTTTAAGATTACAGCTACAGTATATTGTAGGTTCTATCAATTTCATTGTTTGCATCATTTCTAAGCCCCCTTATTTTTTTTAATATGTTTTATTTTCACTACTTTTTTCCCCCCTACCATGCCATCCCTACCCTAATTGGAGTAAACCAACAGACAACAATACTTCTACCACAGGAGGCTAGTGGCACCTTATTTGGGGAGGATGGGCTCGTGGTAATGGCTGGAGCGAATGAGTGGATTGGTATCAAATACATCAAACACATGGTTTGATGCCATTCCATCTGCTCCGTTCCAGACAGTATTATGAGCCATCCTCCCCTCAGCAGCCTCCATTGACTTCTACTGCTACTTACATATATTTCGCTCACATCTACGGTACCTGTAGTTAAATAATTATACATATATTCCTAACTTCCTCTTCAAGTGCTGGATTTCTCCCCACAGCGGCCAATCCACCATTCATTCTGATCTTAACTCCAACCTTCCAAGGTCCACGGTCTTTCCCAGTATAATGCCATTTTGCAACACATCCCTCCATTTTACTATGATGTCTTCTGAGGGTCCTGAACCTCCCTATTTGTAACATTTCTACCAATATTGCCCTAAATATAAATACTTTGCCCAAGAGTATAATTATATTTCCCAGACTGATAGTGTTTTTTCAGATCCCCTAACAATACAGTGTGCAGGTCCATCTGAACCCTGATATTATGACATAACAACCATTCCTGGACCTGACTCCAAAAGCGAGCCACCGATGGCCAGTACCAGAAAAGATGTTCTATTGATTCTGTTTTCTCGTGGCAGAGTCTGCACAAAGCTGACTGTTCAATGCCCCATGTATTGAGCTTTCTTTTTGTAGCAAGTATTTTATATAATAGCTTAAATTGAAACAAATGGATTGATGTGTCAATTGGTTTTTAAAATGTCAGTTCATAGACCCGATGCCAAGGTATTGGGACATCAATCTGTTCCCAACTGACTTGAATTGTATACGGTATTGCTGTCAAACCTTTTGACCTTAAGTAAAACTGATACTTTTTTTGATTTATACTAATCATTTAAGCCATTTATTATTTTTTAATGGGTGGCAGAGAGACTAATTATTTAATTTGTTCTTTAAATAATTGTCTCTTCCAATTTTGTGGCAGAGCCACAATTAGTTGGTTATCATTTTGTGTTGAGCATACACCTCCATACACTGTTAGTTGTTCTTGTTTACAATGTCCTTCATAAATATTATACCCTTCTTGTAAAACTACAAATGTTCTCTATCAGTATATTGTTTAGCCATATTATTTGCTGTAATATTAGATCTGCCTTTTCTTTTTATTTATTGATTTATTTCACCTTTATTTAACCAGGTAAACCAGTTGAGAACAAGTTCTCATTTACAACTGCGACCTGGCCAAGATAAAGCAAAGCAGTGCGATTAAAAACAACAACACAGAGTTACATATGGGATAAACAAAATGTACAGTCAAAAACACAATAGAAAATCTATATACAGTGTGTGCAAATGTAGTAAGTTATGGAGGTAAGGCAATAAATAGGCCATAGTGCAAAATGATGACAATTCAGTATTAACACTGGAGTGATGTGCAGAAGATGATGTGCAAATAAGAGATACTGGGGTGCAAATGAGCAAAAATAAATAACAATATGGGGATGAGGTAGTTGGGTGGGCTAATTACAGATGGGCTGTGTACAGGTGCAGTGATTGGTAAGCTGCTCTGACAACTGATGCTTAAAGTTAGTGAGGGAGATAAGTGTCTCCAGTTTCAGAGATTTTTGCAGTTCGTTCCAGTCATTGGCAGCAGAGAACTGGAAGGAATGGCGGCCAAAGGAGGTGTTGGCTTTGGGGATAACCAGTGAGATATACCTGCTGGAGCGCAGACTACGAGTGGGTGTTGCTATGGTGACCAGTGAGCTAAGATAAGGCGGGGATTTGCCTAGCAGTGATTATAGATGACCTGGAGCAAGTGGGTTTGGTGACGAATATGTAGTGAGGGCCAGCCAACGAGAGCGTACAGGTCACAATGGTGGGTAGTATATGTGGCTTTGGTGACAAAACGGATGGCACTGTGATAGACTACATCCAATTTGCTGAGTAGAGTGTTGGAGGCTATTTTGTAAATGTCATCGCCGAAGTCAAGGATCGGTAGGATAGTCAGTTTTACGAGGGCATGTTTGGCAGCATGAATGAAGGAGGCTTTGTTGCAAAATAGGAAGCCGATTCTAGATTTAACTTTGGATTGGAGATGCTTAATGTGAGTCTGGAAGGAGAGTTTACGGTGTAACCAGACACCTAGGTATTTGTAGTTGTCCACATATTCTAAGTCAGACCCGCCGAGAGTAGTGACTAGTCGGGCGGGCGGGTGCAAGCAGCGTTCGATTGAAGAGCATGCATTTAGTTTTACTAGCGTTTAAGAGCAGTTCTGGAGGATGAAATTGAAATTGTAGCCAACTCTGTATGAGGAGCATACTTTAAATAGGGATCCATTGTCAGTCCACCAAAAATGTAAGGTTATAAATTGCAAAAAGGCAAAGAGCCCACTTTTAAAGATAGAAAATTGTGTACGATGCAATATGTATGTCCAATATGAAAAAACTATTGGATTTAAGCCAACTGGCCAATCTTTTTAAGGGCCGCAAAATGAGCACCGACGCTCCTCTGGGTGTAAAGGTTGGATTTGGAAACCACAAGTGCTGAGTAGAATGGACCCTCCTTTTACTGCGACACAACGTACAGAAAATAGTGTACGGTGCAATATGTATGTCCAATATGAAAAACGTACTGAACATCATGCAATACGAATGGGCTAATTAATAATACATTTTAAAGTGTTTTCTAAAGTTGATTATTATAATTATAATAATTATTGTATTAATATTGTTATTACTATTATTATTAATAGTAGCATTTAAATAATGTTTTGTTATTTGTATTACTGTTGTTACCATGATAACTATCTAGTAATCATTACTTTTAATGCTGTTAACAATAATGTCAGTGCTATAATATTATTTGTGCTATATAAGGCGATCAACTTTTTTCCCTTTTTCAAATTGTTGAAAAAAAATCTAAGTCTGCTAAAATTTCCTCATAAAATGTAACTAATTTCAACCCTTTGTGTATTATTTTTTTTATTGCGGGACTTTTATTTTGAAGGGAAATCGCCGAGGTCAAGGCCTTATTCTTGCTAGGTCTTGCTTATTCTTGCTGGTGGAATGGAGGTGCCACCGAGCATGCGCCTTAAGTGTCCTTCTCCCACGACGGTCGTGATAAACATAAATAATAGGTTAGGATGATCATCCAGTAGGTCATGTGTGTTAACTGTTAATATCTACAATAATTCACTTGGTACTCAATTCACACTGTCTACACTGTCTAATCTCTTTAATAGCACTAGAATTAATACTTTCCTGCACAACAAGTGTCAAATGTGCAATTAGACCCTATAATAATATCTATATATTTAAAAAATATATATGTTTTCACTAAGTTTCTTTTACAATAGAGTTTAGTACATTTGGAGAAAACATAAAAGCTACTCCATAAATCTCTGTAGATATGGCAAAGTAGGCTCCATTTGTTACTTGTGGAGTAAGGGCGCCCCTCAGAGTTTTCCAGTTGCATTGGCAACAATTTACATGTTTTTGTTCTTTGAAACGTTCATGTTTCAATATATATTTCTCTTCTCCCCTAACGTGCCAAATAGGTTCAAGGGACAAGACCTGCCAAGATCTGTTGGAGTGATTCCAGAAGACTGTGTTGGATTCTCCTCCCTATGATCACTGACGATCTGGACTACCACTAGCTCTGATCAGACAGGATGAATGACAGACCGAGACAGACAGGAGGGGTGCACACGGTGGAGGCAGATGTCATCTTTCACCACACCCGTCTGCTCCGACCTCCTCTCCTCCCCCTCGTATGAGGACGGGGGTGTCTGTCCCCTCCCAAGGAAGCAGGAGGGGAACACTAATGCTCCAGACCTGGGATTCGTACTGGACAACCAGGAATTCTGTCAACAGAACACACCAGTTACAAAGGAGTACATGTTGGATGGTGGTACGGTGATTGGGCATCATCACTTTGACCGTCCACAGGGTGATGGATCACATATCTCAAATACAGATCAGTTTCACATTACTGATATTTCTCATCAAGCACATACATCTCACATACCCAAGCTTGATGCTGGTAAAGACCAGAACTGTACTCATGGCAGAAATGGTATCAGTGAGGATATGAATGGAGCGAGGGCAAAAGTGCCCTGCAATGTGGGTCCTTCTCTATGCTTCAAGGGAGATGCCAGAGAGGAAGTGGAAGGGTCCCTGACCCTCTGCAGAGAGAGCATAGTGAGGAGTCAGTGTCATATCACAAATGTCACCGCCTCCCCGGAGCAGGGGACCGCTGCGCCTGACACTCATTGTATCACCGTGGGCAACCAGCCAACCGTACAAGAGCTGGGGCGCTTCTTCAGCCACAGCTCTCCCACAGAATATGACACATTGTGTGGACAGTCAGGGCTTGAGTCGAGCCAAGGTTCCAGGGGCAGTAGTGGCCATGGTGGGGTCAGTAACACAATGCCTAAAGAGGAACCAGATTTAGTGATCGAAGTCGGTGGCCAGAAAATCAGTGTTCACAAGTCTGTTCTGGCAGGGAAAAGTGACTATTTCAAGGCTCGTCAGTCAAGAGACATCCTGAAAGTGAAAGGGCTGAACTACAAGACCCTGACCATCCTGATAGACTATATCTACACCTCTCGGATGAATATACACAAGGGCAATGTGGTAGAGGTGATCACAGGAGCTAAGATCTTACAGATCCCATGTGCCGTCCAAGCTGCTATGGACACCATGTCAGAGCAGGTCACAGCAGAGAACTGTTACGAGATTCTAACTATCGCCAAGAAGCAACGACTCAACGAACTGAAAGAGACGGCCTATCGCTTCATGAGTGACAACTTCCTCCAGATCCTGCAGGACCCAGCGGTGTACGGGCGTCTGACGGGGTCGGAGAGGGATCTGGTCCTGAAGAAGAGAATGGAGGGGAAGAGGTCCCTGATGGTCGCTGAGATCAACGATGTGTTTGACCGTGTCGGGAGCCGACCTCAGAGTCGGTGTAACAGTCGACCACAGAGCCCTCTGTCCGTGGCATCCTTCGAGGAGAACCACATGATTTACTACTTCAACGAGGCAGCCAATGACTGGAGACCTCTGACTCTGATGCCAGAGGACATTAACACTAAAGGCTGTGGGATCTGCACCATGTACAACTACCTGTTTGTGGCCGGTGGGATAAAGGGATTTGGGGATAAGGGCAAGGTCTCAGACAAGGTATTCTGTTACAACCCCATCTCTAACCGCTGGAGCGAGGTTCGACCACTCAACCAGGCGCGGTCGCAGCTCAAGCTAGTGTCTATGGAGGGTAACTTGTACGCCATAGGAGGGGAGTGTTTGTTCACAGTAGAAAAATACGATCCTCGGACTGATAGATGGACCACTGTGGCTCCCTTACCCAAAGGGGTGTTCGCTGTGGCCCATGAAGCCACCACCTGTAACGGAGAGCTCTACGTCTCTGGAGGGTCTCTGTTCTACCGTCTCCTAAAATACCACCCTAAGAGGGACGAGTGGCAGGAGTGCCCCTACAACAACAGCAGGAAGAAGTCAACCGACATGGTGGCTCTGAAAAACTTCATCTACAGGTTTGACGTCAACCGTGACCAGGGGGTCACTGTGTTCAAGTACAACACCATAGTGAAAATGTGGCACGACTGCGCATCGCAGTGGCAGGGCAGCCCTTTGCCGTTCAGGTGTGCCGTCATCGGAAACTGCATCTATTGTGTGAACAAGACTCAGACTCTGCAGTTTGTAGTGGAGGAGGACGGCTCTTACTTTGTAGAGGAACCACTGAAGCCACCACTGGAAGCTAAGGGCATACTGTTCCCTTTCATCCTCAGTCTGCCTGAGAAGACTGACAGATGAATGTGATGTGACCATGTATCACTGATGCTACATTACAGAAGCCCATCAATGTAATATAGTGGACTTTAAAATAAGATGAACATTTTCCAGGTTTATTTTCCCCCTGTCCAGTGTACCTACTCGTAATGGAATGTGTTTCTTTGCATGGCGAGTTTACAGGACAAGCCTTAACAAGGACTACTTTTACATGTTGAATGAGTGCAACCAGAAATGCATGACTGTACATAATGAGATAATGACACATACTGTATAGTAGTTTTGTTGTTTGTTGCATTTCCCTGTGTTCAGTTTGTATTGTGCACTTTTGTAATTGAAGATAGTTAGAATAGATATTGTTTTGAATATTGTTAGCTGGCTGGTGGCTTTTAGCCAAAAATCTAACATCAGAGTTGGAATAGTCTGAATGAAGGGACAGTTGAAGTATGTTCTGAGTGAATGACACAGCTGGCACACACAGGTCCTATATGCAAATGAAACAAGCAAACACATAAACAACACAAGGCCTGCTACAGTGGTGATGTCTGCTCTATGAAGAAACAGTGGGAGGGCTATAACATTCACACAGCACCAAGGCCTGATACCAGATCTGCCCTTGACATTACTTCACAAGGCCATTGAACAGCAGGAGTACAATAAGCCACATGTATCTTCTACAATAATTATATTCTACTATTATAGATCATCAATGAATAATGTTGAAGAGCACAATGCAATTATTTATTAATGCATTCCCACTGGGCACACACTGGTTGACTCAACGTTGTCACCACGTCATTTCAATGAAATTACATTGAACCAACGTGAAATAGACGTTGAATTGACATCTGTGCCCAGTGGGTTAGGTTCAAAACCAGTACCCACCTATTCATTCAAAACTACTACCCAACTATTCAGATCCATTAAACAGCCTTCCAGGTTGTGTCAAAGACGACACTCTACCCGCACATATCGTTTTGTGATGTACATGAATCCGAAGGTGAATTCTTGCAGCACAAGAGTGGTGTTTTTAACTGATCCTGGGGATCGGGTTTGGTTACTGAGTTGAGAAAGCATCAGTCATCATCAGTGTTTACAGATCAGGATTGAGTCGTAATATAGGGTAATATCTCGAGTGCTGTACAGAACCCAGCCTAAACCCATACCTAGTAATGCAGGTGTAGAAGCACGGTGGCTAGGAAAAACTCCCTAGAAAGGCAAAACCTAGGAAGAAACCTAGAGAGGAACCAGGCTATGAGGGGTGGCCAGTCCTCTTCTGGCTGTGCCGGGTGGAGATTATAACAGAACCATGCCAAGATGTTCAAAAATGTTCATAAGTGACAAGCATGGTCAAATAATAATCAGGAATAAATCTCAGTTGGCTTTTCATAGCCGATCATTAGAGTTTAAAACAGCAGGTCTGGGACAGGTAGGGGTTCCATAACCGCAGGCAGAACAGTTTAAACTGGAATAGCAGCAAGGCCAGGCGGACTGGGGATAGCAAGGAGTCACCACGGCCGGTAGTCCCGACGTATGGTCCTAGGGCTCAGGTCTCTCAGTTGGCTTTTCATAGCCGATCATTTAGAGTTGAAAACAGCAGGTCTGGGACAGGTAGGGGTTTCGTAGCCGCAGGCAGAACAGTTGAAACTGGAATAGCAGCAAGGCCAGGCGGACTGGGGGCAGCAGGGTGTCATCATGCCCGGTAGTCCTGACGTATGGTCCTAGGGCTCAGGTTCTCAGAGAGAAAGAGAGAACGAGAGAATTAGAGAGAGCATACTTAAATTCACACAGGACACTGGATAAGACAGGAGAAGTACTCCAGGTATATTGAAACAGGCCTTAGGTGTGCACTAGTGTTTACAGAATGCAGGATTGAGTCAGCATAGATATGAGGGATGGTGCTCACTGCTTACTGCTCATTCTTAGGCCTAGTACTTTACTATCACATTTACCAAAGACAAAATAGTCTGGTTTTATACAACATATCAAACCCTTTCAGATATTTCACTAAATAAATCTATAGTAAATATATTTGGGTGATAATATCCTAGATCAAAAACACTCTTATGACCTCTCTAAAATTCACACGCAACACTTGTATTAGCAACAATATATCACTGTTGCTGTGAAAACAAGGGCACCACAGTCGCTGCTACTCTGTTCTTTAACATTCTTCAGAGAAGTGAGGAGTCATTTCTTGTATGCAGGACAGGGGAATTTGCCCTTGTCCTACCGATAAGAAAATGCTATTATGTTGTCATCTCCCACAAGTATTTGATGAGCCAGCCAGAAAGACTGTGACCGGCATACATAGTATGTACTTTCGGATACTGTTCAACTGGCTCTCAAGTACTTGACTATTTCAATGTAATTTATGATGATGAAGCCGTTTGCCCATATTAGATGATGTATATCTACTGTGGTGTGTAGCCATGGCCTGTCCGTTTTATTCCATCTGTTTATAATGCATTTCATCATCTCATCCACACAGCATTTAGTAGGAAGCACACTTTGCATCAACTTCAGCTCAATGTTCATCTGTTCTGCTAAGATATGCCTAATCTTTTTTGCATTTACAATATTGGAAATGGGTCCAATAACACTCCATCTCCTTGCGCTTCATTAGGAATTTGACATATTTGTTTGCTTTTAGCAATAATACATCAATTGGGAGTTATGTTAATCTGTGGGATTTGATTCAGTGGAATTTACTTAGTGAACAAAATGCTACTACCACATTTGGTAACAGTATCCTCGCGAGGCTGTTGTAACGGTTGTGACTGAGTAGATGTGGTTGGACTTATTCGTCTGGTATTTTGCTTGAAAGTACAGTGTTGGTTGAAGGCTTTCTTACTGATAATTAGCATGTTAAATAACAGCTAACAAACTAACTGTTGGATGATGTATTTCAGTCAAAACTAAGTGCTGCAAATAAAAAATATTTAGTGTCTGAAATAAGTTTCAGTATCATTCGCTATAGTGTGTTTTGAAGTATGGATGGAGAGGTCCTTATCACTGATTAATTATTATAATTATTGGTACAGAAGCACCAACTACTGCACAATGACTGTAAGTAACACTGTGTCTGTCACAACATCCTCTGCTTGTAATTTCTCTCTTGAATGAAAACAGATTAATTGACTGTAATAATACCAGTCATAACTGAGTTCTGTATTAATACATTATTGTATTTGCTCCCCTTAGTGAAAATATATTATTCTCTCCTATACAGTGCTGAGGCAGAACGTTGGTGCTGTTGCTGCTGCTAAAGCCGGGTGACTTCAGCAGGTCCTGCTGTCTCGGCATCATCTCCTCTGTACACCTCAGGTCTACTGTCAACAATCTCTGGACTACGAAACGTAGTCTTAGAGAAGTAATTCACGTATCTGGACACTGTTGGCTCCTCCTATTTGACAATTCATTTTGAAATATTATGAGTAAATGTACATTTTATAATTAGGGCTAGAAGTTTTTCCTGACCATAACCTTTTTCTTGGTTAAGTCATGTGGTCAGGGAAAACTTGCACCATCAATAATGTACAATGAAACAAAATATGTTGTTAGATAGATTGCTAACCCTCATACAGAAGAACTACAGTGTAGGTACCAGTGTGTTACCTCAGAGAAAGGAGGCAGGATGTCGGCCCACTGCTTGATTTCCTGTGTGGAGCGGTCGATGGTGACGTTCATGATGCTCTTGCATGTCTGTCTGGTTGAGCGCTTGGCCAGGGGGATGACGGCCAAAACAAAACAGGCTGCCACGTTCAATGCCCCGGCAACCACAAAGCCCTGGTTGTAGCTCCCTGTCATGTCATTCATCCAACCTGACCGGGACAACAACAAATGTATGACTGAGACTTCAAACAACAAGGGTATGACTGTTACTTTTATCATCATACTACTTTTATGATGTTCTTTCATGCAAAGACAGTGATGCAACCTCTGTCTGCACATCTGCCAAAAAGATGTGTTTGACGTTTGATCCGATTCAGTCATTGTTTGGTTGTACTGACATGGCTAACACTCCTCCAACTTAAGAATAGTGTGAAAGGTGGGTGCGTGATTAGTCCCCTCCTGTACTCCCTGTTCACCCACGATTGTGTGGCCGCGCATGACTCCAATGCCACATTGTTTGCCAGAGACACGACGGTGGTAGGCCTGATCACCAACGACGATGAGACAGCCTATAGGGAGGAGGTCAGAGACCTGGCAGTGTGGCGCCAGGACAACAACCTCTCCATCAACATCAGTAAGACAAAGGAGCTGATCATGAAGGTAGGAAACAACATCTCCACTTCGCTGATCCTCAACACTGGGGCCCCACAAGGGTGCGTGCTCAGCCCCCTCCTGTACTCCCATGACTGCGTGGCCAAGCAAGACTCCAACTCAATCATCAAGTTTGCAGACGACACAACTGCACCGCCCACAACCGCAGGGCTCTCCAGAGGGTGGTGCGGTCTGCCAAACGCATTACCGGGGGCGAACTACCTGCCCTCCAGGTCACCTAAAGCACCCGATGTCACAGGAAGGCCAAAAAGACCATCAAGGACATCAACCACCCGAGCCAATGCCTGTTCACCCCGCTATCATCCAGAAGGCGAGGTCAGTACAGGTGCATCAAAGCTGGGACAGAGAGAATGAAAAACAGCTTCTATCTCAAGGCCATCAGACTGTTAAATAGCCATCACTAGCACATTAGAGGCTGCTGCAGCCTATTGAAATCACTGCCCACTTTAAGAAATGGAACACTAGTCACTTTAATAATGTTTACATATCTTGCATTACTCATCTCATATGTATATACTGTATTCTATAATTGTTACGTTCTCCCCTCGGGTGTAGTTCGTCTGAGGAGGAGACGTAAATGCCTGTGCCTGCGCACACAAGGTAAACTAGATCAAGGTGGGAGAAATGTGGGGTGTAATGAACTAAAATAACCAGACAACAACCAGATCTCAAGGTTAGCCCTCGGGGGACGTTTAGTAATGTACTTAAACAAAATAAACAACACCCATAAAGAAACAGTAAGGAAACAAAACTCAATCAAACAAACCAGGGAAGGTAAGAGAAGGGAATATTTGGGAACGGGGTCCAATTAATGAAAATAAACAAAAGGTCCCTCCTCTTCTACACACCTAAACCTGCCTATCACACTCTAACCCTAACCCACTTTCCTACCTGTTTACCAAAAATACAGGGGTGACACCCGCCCGGCTAACCTAGTGTGTAAAACAATGAGTTATCTACGAGTGAATGTACACCCATGGGCAGAACTACCTTTCCCTTCTCCAGGACCTAGGTAGGGTGGAGTACATCAGGAGGACAGGCTGGAACACAAACAAAGATAAATTAACACAGCCAAATAACAAGTGTCCTCTCCCCTCTTCTTCGAGCTCACATGGCAAACAGGTATACTCTCGTCAATCAGCTACAGCAGCCAGGACTCCGGACCGAAGCCCACCATCGTCAGCCGCAACTCAGCACACCTGTAATGCCCAGAACACACAAACACACTACAAAGGAAAATGGGGAGAAAGAAAAATACGTCACACATAACAATAATATTCTACTGTATCTTAGTCCATGCCGCCCTGTCATTGCTTGTCCATATATGTATATATTCTTAATTCCATTACTTACTTAGATTTGTGTGTATTGGGTACATGTTGTGAAATTGTTAGATATTACTTGTTAGATATTACTGCATTGTCGGAGCTAGAAGCACAAGCATTTTGCTACACCCGCAAGAACATCTGCTAAACACGTGTATGTGACAAATACAATTTGATTTGATTTGATTTGGACTACAGGAAATGGAGGGCCGAGCACACCCCCATTCACATCGATGGGGCTGTAGTGGAGCGGGTCGAGAGCTTCAAGTTCCTCTGTGTCCACATCACTGAGGATCTATCATGGTCGAAACACCAACACAGTCGTGAAGCGGGCCCGACAACGCCTCTTCACCCTCAGGAGGCTGAAAATATCTGGCATGGGCCCTCAGATCCTCCAAAGGTTCTACTGCTGCACCATTGAGAGCATCTTGACTGGCTGCATCACCGCTTGGTACGGCAACTGCTTGGCATCTGACCGCAAAGTGCTACAGAGGGTGGTGCGGACGGCCCAGTACATCACTGGGGCCGAGCTCCCTGCCATCCAGGACCTCTATACCAGGTGGTGTCAGAGGGAGGCCCTAATATTTGTCAAATACTCCAGCCACCCAAGTCATAGACTTTTCTCTCTGCTACCACACGGCAAGCGGTACCGATGCACCAAGTCTGGAACCAACAGGACCCTAAACAGCTTCTACCCCCCCCCCCAACCATAAGACTCCTAAATAGTTAGTGCGGGTAGCTATTTGGTTAACTATTTAACTATCCGCATTGACCCTTTTTGCACAAACGTTTTTGACTCATCACATACGCTGCTGCTACTGTCTTTGTCTAGATATGTACATATCTACCTCAATTAACTCGTACCCCTGCACATTGACTCGTGTACATCGACTCGGTACTGGTATATAGCCAAGTTATCGTTACTCATTGTGTATTTATTATTACTTTTCTATTATTTCTTTATTTTCTTTCTCTCTGCATTGTTGGGAAGGGCCCGTAAGTAAGCATTTCACTGTTAGTCCACACCTGTTGTTTACGAAGCATGTGACGAATAACATTTTATTTGGTTTGGAACAATAACATCAGCTGCAGTGAACCTACCAGCGAAGGGCGGCCCCAAGCAGCTGACAGCGTTCACCGTGAGCATGAACCCCCAGGCCATGGGCATTTTCTCTGCCCCCATCAGGTCAAAGGTCAGGACAGGGAGCAGGACGTAGTTGCCAGCATCAGCAATCCCCAGGAACAAGCCAAAGGCTGCCAGAGAGACGTAGGATTTGAGCAGTGGGATCAACATGTACAGCAGACCTGGCACCGCAGGAGGACACACAGGAGGAGACAGGTCTTAGGTTGTGTACGGTCTGCAGCATTCACCTTGTACATTTGACTGGAGCACAGTCGTGACAATAATCGCCACACTCTCTTGTGTTGTATTGCTTTACTAACGGTCATAGTGACTGAGGTATAGGAGTAAGGGCAACCCACCAACACCAAAGACAGAGGCCTGGTTAAAGTACAGCCTGTTGATTCTCTCGGAGTCACAGATCCATCTGAAGATGATCCAGGAACAGCATGATGTTAGTGGCACTGTGGACTGGGATGCCCAGCTGAACAGCATGCTTCACCTAGAGCAGGACACAAACATGTTTGTTTTAATATCCTTGTGGGGACCAAATAATTGATTCCCATTCAAAATCCTATATTCCCTTAACCTAACCCTAACTCCTAATCCTAACCTTAAGCCTACCCCATTAAGTCTGGAAAATGTCCCTGAATTATAATATAATAATAATAATAATATGCCATTTAGCAGACGCTTTTATCCAAAGCGACTTACAGTCATGCGTGCATACATTTTTTTTTTTGTGTATGGGTGGTCCCGGGGATCGAACCCACTACCTTGGCGTTACAAGCGCCGTGCTCTACCAGCTGAGCTTGTCCTTGTTTTACTATCGTTGTGAAGACTTCTCATCCCCAGTAAAACCAAAAACACACACATACAGGTATCTATCTATTTACTGAATGTATCCTGTACAGGTAGTACTAAGGGTATTTGTTGTCAGATTGTTACATCACAATAGCATCCCTTCCCTCTTTTTTAACCTAAACTACATTCACTCATCTTTGGGGTAAAGAATGAGTCAAATTACAGAATGTTTCCAAACTATAATGTCGTACTGTTGCAACTGAGCCTTCAGTTGTTTACATCAGTATGTAACTTACCAAGTGGACATATGGAATGAAGAATCCAAATGTACACAGTCCATTGGCTGCAACCCAGATCAGAAAGACTGTCTTTCCACAGGCCAAGGTCCACAACAAACTTCTTCAAGGGAGAGTTCTTCAAATTATCCACCACACTTCTGGTGACACTTTTCAAACACATTTGGAATTTAAATCACTCATAGCCCATCAGCAGCACATACTGTAGCTTTTGAATATATCACATTTCTGTTTGAAAGGGTACACAAGGGTGCGCTCAGTCATGATGGGGTAAATGGTCCCATTACTGTATGCTCATCATTTTACATGGGAACCTGCAATGTAATAAAGAAATGTAAAACTGTTGTGGGTCTGAACGTCCTGCAGTACCTTTGGGGTTGAGTGGCAGATAGGTGAAGCCGGTGATGACACAGATAATCATGAGGCCTGAGAACACTTGGAGACTCTGCCTCCAGCCCAGGGTGTCGATGAGGTACAGATGGAGCCGGGTCTGGACCAGGGCCCCTGCTGCTCCTCCTGACATCACTATCCCTGTGGCCAGGGAACGCTTGGAGGTGAAGTACTGGCTCACCATGATCATACCTGCCCCACAGGAGGAGGAGGGAGATGGAGGTGAGACGATGTGTTAGCTGTCCTGGCCTTGTGAATACAACAATGACCTTCCCTCTAATAAGCTACAATATGAACTAGAAAAGTTATGGATGGAAGTGTCAGTGAATCCATAGTGTAACTAACTGCTAGCTAATGTCCTCCCTCCCCTGTACCAACCTGGGGTGAAGGCAAAGCTGGAGCCCACTCCAGTGAGGAAGCTGTGTGTGAAGAACAGCGATCCTAGATTGGGTGCATAGGACGAGTACACTATGGAGATCATGATGATGAGGGATCCTAGAATGGAGATCTCTCTGGCCCCGTACCTGACTGACAGCTTCCCAGACAGGGGCCCACAGATCATGATGAAGCCGTAGCTGATGGAGCCAACCCATGCTACAGGCCAGCAGAGAGTGGGTCATAAGGTTAGGTAGCTAGCCGGTTTCAATGTATCTACTCTATAGCATGTGTAGGTCATTCATGCAGTTTGATAACTACTTGTTTATTACAGGTTTATCACCATTTACACATATCATGATCACAAAATCACTTTTGTAATACAAAATAGTTGTAATGTGTAGTTATAACAGTTGAGTTTACAGTGTAATGTTGCATTTTTTCAGTCTGAAAAACAGTTATTAACGGTATGTGACGCTTAGTGTAACTTGCCTGTTTTAGAACTTGTCTCCCCAAACTCATTGAGACTGATGAGCTACACTCCGAAGGAGTTGTGGTATCCCAGTACCAGGACATTATAGAGGAACGATGATAAGACAATCACCCATCCCCATCCTCCGGTCGGGGGAGGGCTTGATAGGTGGGGGTCTACGATGCTCGGGTTCCTCGGAGTAAAACCTCCTGAAGGGAATGGCAGTCCGGAAGATGTGCATCTTGATGCACAAAATACACGGACCTAGGGTGCTGCCCAGCTTGCCGTGTTCGAAGAGACCTCTCGGGCGCTAAATAAAGGTGGCTAGGCCGACATGCCTAGGAACATTTACGTTCCTAGCTACATGCACGTTTCACCCAGTTCTGTTTGACATCACAATTGCCATACAGGTGTTGCCCACGTAATTTACGCACTGAAGGCCACTGGTCCGTTCATTCTAAATGTCTAATTCTATGCCATAGAGATCCTTTTAAATTACATTCGAATTCCTAATTCTATGTTCTATGCACAGGCCACTACCAGCTCAACTTTTGTTTGAACTTCATATCCATTGACTAAAAGACTAATAGGCTGCATTGTAATACATTCGGATATTTATTTTCAGGAATTGATTTCCATTTTTCTTATCAATTGCAAATCGACTTTTTTTTATTTATTTTTTATGGTTTTCCAGACATAGAAGCTGTTTAGTTTATATTTTTTGTGTATTTTTTTGGTGGTTTTTATTTTATTGTACCTCTTTTTACGACTATTGCTGTACAGATGTTGATGATGTGTGTTCAGCAATTTAATTGGTCTCCAGTCCATTTAATCTGACGTTATTTTGAATACAGTAGTGCCAGATGTCATCGCGAATAGGATGGATCACATGGTTACGCATAGTGCGTGTGTGACGTAGTAGGTTAATGGCTAGAAGATGAAGAGAAGATGTCTACTGCCATCCGAATATAGCAGAAAATAAAAACATCGACCCAATTCGTTCTACACTCCTTGCAATCATTTAGCGGTCTAGGCTACAACCACTGCATGGTATTGTTGCATAACGGCACAATGGCTGTGGCAAATGCGAAACAAACGGTCCTAAATCCGGTAAGAGGCTTTTTACTAGACTACCCCTATTATACTCACATCTTCACAGCGAGACTCTCCCTTTCTCTACTAACGTTATAGGAATAAAAACATATTAGTATACCACATGCATGTTGTTGTCTTCAATAGGTCTATGTGCAGTTATGGCCTTTATCGTCTGTCGTTATGCAGTCATTTCGTTGTATAATTGTTGGGCCGAAATGCTGTTGGCATGTTTAACGATTTTATAGGATCTGGTGTTTCAATAATGGGATATAAGATATTGATAAATAATGCTATAGGCCACACACACACACGGCGGATATGATTTGATTATGTTTGCCTACATATTTTGTCTTTATTAAGCCCATCTGACCCCTCCATCCAGGTGATTCCATTCACTGGGGCCATACCTGGGGGCCTACACCCTGGGGAGATGGTCCTTATCCAGGGCACTGTTCACAATGATGCTGACAGGTATGTGATAATGATAATGGGCGGCAGGTAGCTTAGTGGTTAAGAGCGTAGTGCCAGTAACCGAAAGGTCACTGGTTCAAACCCAGAGCCGACTAGGTGAAAAATCTGTCGGTGTGCCCTTGAGCAAGGCACTTAACCCTAATTGCTCCTGTAAGTCGCTCTGGATAAGAGCGTCTGCTAAATGACTAAAATTTAATTTAAATTTGTTGTTTTCAACCCTATCCCTAGCTTCATGTCCACATCCTGGTTGAATCCTAACCCTCAACCACAACCTTAACCCTAGCTTAATGTCCACATATCAGTTCAACCCTAACCCTAGCTTCATGTCCACATCTCGCTTCAGCCCAAACCCTCAACCACAACCCTAACCCTAACCCTAGCTTCATGTCTGCATCCCGGTTCAACCCTAACCCTAGCTTCATGTTCACACCCTGGCTCAACTAGAAATAATATGTTTACCCAACAAACAAATACATCAGTTCAACCCACTCAAAAATAATAATTTTACCCAGCAAAGAAATATGTTTAGCTAACAAAAAATATCAGTTCAACAAAAAAATGTGTTTAGTGTGACTTCAGTCAGAGACCCTGACTCAAGTCCCCACCTCAGCCTTAAGACATTTAGAAACTCTTCTCTATTACATACCAATGTGGTAACTGCAGGTTCCAGATGGACCTATCCTGTGGCACCAGCACTAAACCTCGTGCGGACATCGCCCTCCACTTCAACCCCCGTTTTAAGGGATCGCTGTGCGTTGTTTGTAACTCCCTGGTGCAGGAGAGTTGGGGCAGGGAGGAGACCCTTCAGAAGCTGCCCTACAGACAGGGAGCAGCCTTCGAGACTATTATCCTGGTCCATGATGATGTCTTTAAGGCAAGTGGACCAATGTCTGGGAGTTACCTTATTTACCGTACCCATGTTTAAGGTGACCTAACCAGGAAATTAGGCCACATACAGGAAAAACTCCCTATCCTACATTTGCTTGCACATTCACTACTGTTGAGTCAAAAGAAGCTAGTATAGTCATGCAAAAGTCAAGCAACTCTAATGTAATGGATTTTTGTGATCCTGTGTGAATGCTGTTCTCCTTTGTACCTGCAGGTGGCAGTAAATGGTTCTCATTTGTTAGAATACAAGCACAGAATCCCACTGGACAGGATTGACACATTTTCTATATCTGGGAAAGTCAAGGTGCGCGCCATTGGCTTCATACCAAACTCAGTAAGTACCCCCTCCAATACGCTTACTATAAGTCCATAGAATAGATCATGTTTTCAGCTCGCTCTATAATGAATGTCTTCATTATTATTTTCTCCTGTAGGCAATATACTCAATCTCAGGTGAATCAGGTGACCTGGTGAGTTGTGTGTTATATTTGCCATAAACTATAAAGGATAGATCTATATTAGGCAACATGACCAATTGCATCAATATGTTGATAAGTGTACAGACATGGCCTATATCGGATGCATTTTCAGAGTCTCCCTTACAAAGGCAGTCTACTGAAAGGGGTGAGTCCAGGACAGCACATCACAATCAAGGGACAGGTCAGCATGTACCCACACAGGTAAGCAATTGGACAGTACTGAGTATTTAAACCATGTTCCAAGAAACTAGACAGTGTACCTTTTGAGGGAGTGTGTACTGCCCAATGCCCACTATCCATGACATCACAGGAGGCTGCTGGAATGGAGCAAATGTAATGGCATCAAACACATGGAAACCATGTGTTAAATACCATTCCACTAATTCCGCTCCAGTCATTACCATGAGCCCGGCCATCCCAATTAAGGTGCCACCAACCTCCTGTGCATGACAATGTAGAATAACCTGCATCATTGTTTTTCTGATGAACCTCTGTCTGGCAGCTTCACTGTGAACCTCCGCAACAACAGCAGTGAGAACATCGCTCTGCACCTGAACCCCCGGATGAAGTCGGCCATGTTCATCAGGAACTCCTACCTGAGTGAGTCCTGGGGACCAGAGGAAAGGGAGCTTCCCTTCTTCCCCTTCTCACCTGGGGAGTACTTTGAGGTATGCTTACTTTGTTCAGCTGGATGCTGTTTCTAAATAAGCGGTTCTCACACCATCTGCACATCGTGTTACCTGTATTATTGGAACTCTTACTAGTCTTTTTCACTGCAAGTACTCTCTCTCTGCCCCAGATGCTGATCCTCTGCCAGCCCCACCAGTTCAAGCTGGCGGTGAATGGCTCTCACCTGTTGGACTACAGGCACCGGGTGCAGGACCTGAGCACCATCAACCAGCTGGAGATCATGGGTGACCTAGAGCTGATGGATGTCAAGCTGTGGTGACCCATGACAGAGGCAAAGCTAGGCTACGCCCCAATGGGCTAAGCTAAGCCATATTCTGGATGACAGGCCCGTTTACAACTCCCCCACCCTGGGCAGTGAGCAGTGCTTGAGCCGGCTGGTGTTGAACTGGCCTGATTGTGGGCTCCAATGTCTGAGCCATGAGGTTTACAGCTGAGGTAGCCTTGGATCTGTTCGAGTGGATCCACAGGATTTTACAGTCAATATACTTGTATGCACTATCTGGTGCAATGTGTAAGGGAATCTGGTATGTGTAATGACAGGAGTATTATAGAAACAGACTCGTTTACACCTTGCTCTAACCTGGACAGGAGTATTATAGAAACAGCCTTGTTTACACCTTGCTCTAACCTGTGGGTTTTGTGATCTGATCAATATGATCCAATCACTATTTTATCAAGGTTTGTCATGTCTACACATGGTATTAAAATGTGTCTCTTATCCGTCCACTGGGTCCGCATTGTGACCGGATTTCCTGGTCCCTCCCTTAATTCTTTCAAATTAATTAATTAATTTTAAGACTATTATTAATGCCATAAGTCAATGGCGCTACCTGTCAATGATTTAGAGGCTGGTATGATGATGATGATGATTTAAATGGTTTGACCCTCCAGATCTGTTTACAATTGCTTGTCTGACTACCTCTGGAGGTGCGGGAAGATATGATCACAATGTGTCTTTTAATCAGCTACATCAGTCTAAAAATGTGGGCACAATCAAGACAAATGTTAGCACCAGGTATAAACGGGGCTATAAACTCATTGGTGGAAGGCCATAAAATGTCCATTTACATTGACCCTGATTTGGAAGGGCTCTACTAAAATATATCTTGGAGCTGCACTATTTTTCATCATAAAATTAAATGCTTAAGCCTAATCACTAAAATAATCCATAATAATTCTCATTCATCCATCTCAGGTTTTTCAGTGCTGAAACAAATTATAGGATGGTTACAGTTGTTGCTTAACACTCAGAATATATTTCTCAGGAATATGAAAACCCTGACCATATTTAATGTTCTGTACCTGAGGGAACATGTGGCTATTTATTTACCCTCTGTAGGATATGTGCTTCAAATATCATCCAATAGATGGTTTAAAGAGCATACATTAGAAAGGCAATATGACCTGAAAGGTTACATCACAAGGTCAAATACTCTTTCATGTGAAATCGCAGAAATGGCCAAATCAAGTTGACTAAGCTCACCCACCATATGACCTAGGGTAGGCTTCAATCTGTATCTCCGAAGTATCGCGGAAGATCCGAGATATAGCTTGATTGAAATGCAAAGGCAACGTTCATGGAGACTGCATTGGAAATGACGTTTACATTTTAACACCGCTCTTCCGCGATAGGGATTAAATCCAGCCCCTAGTCTAGTGCACTTCAATCCAAGCACAACTACAATACAGGGTCAAACTAATTGCACTGGTTGGTGATGGTTCCAATGAAAATAATAAGGGCTGGATTTAATCTGTATCGCGGAAGATCCAAGTTAAAATGTAAAGGTCATTTCCGATTGAGCCGACATATGCAGCGTTTACCGTGAATGCAGTCTCAACGAACACGAGAACATTGCCTTTAAATTTTAAATCGAGCTATAACGTGGATCTTCCGCGATACTTCTGTGATACGGATTGAATCCAGCCCAAAATGTGTGCTAATCAATTAGTGTTGTATGTATGACTGTATGGCGAATCTTTTCTTGCTTGGCCAAAAGTCCAGCGCTATAGCGCGCTTGTAATTTAAAGGTAATTTCCGATTGAGTAGACATATGCAGCGTTTACCGTGAACGTAGTCTCCGCTAACGTGGGAACATTGCCTTTACATTTCAATCGCGCTATAGCGCTGAACTTCGGCGATACGGATTGGATTGAGCCCTAACCATTTGAGAGCTGGTAATTCCTGCCACCTCTATGCAAGTTCTTTCAGTCAAGCATTTCACCCATTTTCAGCCTTATTATTTAGTTAATCAATTCTGTTTCACTGCTGAGATGTCATGCTAGTGATGCCTACTGTTTCTTTCTGCTGTAACCTACATTATATGAAGAATCTACTGTATGTAATGCATTATAAATAGTTAATGTGCTTTTAAATAAATGTATGATGATTGGGTTAATTTTTCTATTTGTTCATCTGTCTAGCAGGTCCTCATTTACCTGTGATATCTATGCACATTTATCACCGCTACGTAGGTGCTTTTCTCCTCTTCAACCAGCCAGATGGAGCTATAAGGTAAGCGGTACAAACGACAGCAGTCAACTGGCCCATTTTTCACACTCAAAACATGCAGAAGAAAAGGCACTAGTATAAGCAGAGAGATGTATAGCTCCTTTTCCCATCCGAAAGGCGGTACCCTACGCAGGACAATGTTCCCAAATGGAATCAAGGTTCGAAATGATTATGTTTTAGTCAAATATATCCGTTTAGGCTTCTTGCGTTCAATTTGCAGTCAAATTATACATTTTTGTATTATGTTCCGGCCCCCCGACTATCTGCTCAAGAAGAAATTGGTGTAATGTGATGCTTTCCCGATGAGCAGTGGTTTCCTATGGAGTTTGCTTTGCTACATAAAAAAATCCACGTAGCTTGGGGAAATGCAATTCGTTCTGAAGTAAGCCTATACCACAAGTCACTTCTTGACGTTAGCGTACACAAAGAGGTGAGTATGTCTGCTGGTGACAGAGGGCCCTTGTTTTCCTCTGTATCTCTATGATGCTGTGGCTGGAGGTCCCAAGGCCTCAGAACCCTGATGAATGGACCATTACAGGACCCTTGACCAGGACTCACCCTAAGTACATCATGTAGAATGATTTTATACTGATTTTGTGCTGTTGAATCGTTTGTGTTATTCTCATTTAGCTACACTTACCAAAGGCACTCGTCACAAGGCTACCATTAAATACCTACCGAAGGATGTGTGACGTGATAACGCATTGCTTTCAACTGGTCACCTTGAGGCTTGGCTTCAACAGATAGAATCTAGTTCCTTAAAAATATGTGATTTTATTAATATATCCACAGGAAATATAACTTGAGGAAAAGAAATTACCTTGGTATGGCACAACAATACAGAATCTTATTAACATGTAACTTAAAAAAATGTATGAATTAAATGATATGATATGCAACATGATGACAACTCTTGTTTGGTGATTGACTGTAAACCAGAATCTCATCAGATAGAAAGGCAAAGACCCTGTCCATCAGTGATCAACAAGCCATATTCTGTTGTACAAAAAAGAAATGGCAGACCTGTGATTCACCACAGAAATAAAGCAGCTTTTCTTTAACATGTTAGGAATAACTGTCACAACACAACCTCTTTTCCCCTTTAAATAGCTGACACACAGCCATACTGTACATACATCCACCACTCCTTTCCTTTGTGTGTCCCCCTCCCAGGACAGTAGACTATGCTTCAGTCGAAGACAGGAGCACAGGACAAGCACAAGTCCCCTGGGCCCTTCACCGGCAACAACCCCCGCTATGATGCAGTTTGGCAAGTCGTTGGCTTAGGAGAGAAGGTCCCAGTTCAGTTCAGTTCAGTTCTGCTCTCAGCAGCCAAATAATACCACAGTCTTTTAGAGGCTCAAGTCCTGTGATTTTAAAGGAAGGAGAGGATATTGGTTACAGGCATTTAGGGTTGAGACGACCCACTGTTTGGCACAGGTGTGGATGGAGGAACTGGGGGGAGTGTTTTAGGGATGGACGGATATTTGAGTGAACTCCCTGTCAGACAGAGCTGAGTTTGACCAGGCCTCTGACAGAGTCCTCGTGTAGAGAGTCCTGGCTGGCTGGGTTGTAGAAGCCCTGAATAGTGTGGCTGTGTCCCAGCGGGCTGCCGCAGGGGAGCATGCCCGGTGGCGAGGGGGCTTCCTCGGGCGTGAGGAAATGGTGGTGGCCGCCGTCCGTGTGGTGGTGGTGGAGCGCTTCGCTGTGGTCGTTCCGGAGGGGCAGCATGCCATTGTCACAGCTGAGGTTGGGGGTGGAGCTGGGGGGTGTAGGCTGGCCCCCCAGCGGCAGGGCTCCAGAGCAGGGACCGCCTAACGATGTCCTGCCCGGTAGAGAGGCCTTGTCTGTGAGGATGACCGGCTCACTCTGCATCAGGGGCGTGGCGGCGGCCTGCAAAACGAATTTGGTGCTCTGAATGCACTGGTCTTGATCACACTGAGACGGGATAAATGGAGAAGGGTCGGAAAGGAGGAAGAGAGAAAGAGAAGGAGAGATATGGAGGAAGAGAGAAAGAAGGAGAGATGGAGAAAGAGAGAAGAAGAAGAGAGGAGAGAGATGGAGGAAGAGAGAAGAGAAGGAGAGAGGAGAGAGGAAGGAAGGAGAGAGAGAAGAGAGAAAGAGAGGAGATCGGAGAGAAGAGAGAAAGAAGGAGGAGGAGAGAGATGGCGGAAGAGAGAAAGAAGGAGAGAGATGGAGGAAGAGAGAAAGAAGGAGAGAGATGGAGAGAAGAAGAAGAAGGAGAAGAGAGAGGAGGGAGGAGAGGGAAGAGGGAAAGAAGGAGAGATGGAGGAGAGAAGAGAGAGAGAGAAGGGAGGAGAGAGATGGCGGAAGAGAGAAAGAAGGAGAGAGATGGCGGAAGAGAGAAGAGAAGGAGAAGAGGAAGAGAGAAAGAAGGAGAGAGATGGCGGAAGAGAGAAAGAAGGAGAGATGAGGAGGAAGAGAGAAAGAAGGAGAGAGATGGAGGAAGAGAGAAAAGAAGAGAGAGATGGAAGAGAGAAGAGGAGAGAAGAGAGGAGAGAGGGAGAGAGAAAGGAAGGAGAGAGATGGCGGAAAGAGAAAGAAGGAGAGAGATGGAGGAAGAGAAAGAAGGAGTAGAGATGGAGGAAGAGAGTGACAGTGAGAGTAGGGAGAGTAATAAGACGTGAGACAGAGGGAGATGTGGGGATAGAAGAAGAAGAAGGAAAACAGATGAGAAAGGAGGAGCAAAAGGTTAACATGAGGAGTGTAGTGAATGAAATAGAGAGAAGAGAAAAAGAGAAAAGATCTTGTTAGTAACCTTGTTAGAATGCACAGTAATCCAACACCAGAGAAAAACACACTAGGGCTGACCCCACTTAGTCGACTGGTCGATAGGCTGTTGGTCGACAGAGTTCTTTAGTCGAGCAGTAGCAAAACATTTTTTTATGTTATGGTGCACAAGACACCTGTCTGATTGGCACCAGTCAGAGTGGACTGATCCATTGCGGAGGCCGTGGGGATGGCACAGTCCATCACTAAGACATGCTACTGAAATTGTATATGGTTATATTATGTACAAACAATGGTGCAACACTAATAATAATGTAACAAATGCATTTTCTCCCACGTTGGATATATCAGTGCACTGTTGAATTGGCTCATTTTCCTAGACCATGTTGCTATGTGCATAATAGTAAAGTTCATTCATCATATTGGTGTTGAGAACAACGAGGCGGAGGCAGCAGCGGAGTGAGGAGACGAGAAAACAGCTCTTTCCTTAATAGTCTAAGAAAAGTGAGGAGAGAGGAAACCAACTTAATTAGGTCTATAATCAATAGCCTAACTGTTAAATGTGCCTGACTTTATGAATCATCCATATATATCTACAGAAATAAGACAGATCCTGCTTCTGTTGCGTGTTTGAGTGTTTGTTTAATAGCCTACTGATTCTGTGAGCTCCAAACCTCACGCAGCCACAACATGTCAGATAAAGCAATTTCTCAAATGTGGCTGTTTTTAATCTTTGCTATGCTGTAATAAAGGGCTCTCTGGTATTTACACTGTTCCAAAAGGTCCGAAAAATTATATTGTAATCTAAAAGCACTTGTTTGTCACACATAATGCGCAGCTCTCACTCCTATACCCTTCTTTTTCTTCATCTCCTACGATTGATCATCATTATAATAATAAGTAATGTCATTATCATTAGTAAGCTTAGTACAGCAGCCTTGAGCTGTAGGCCTAGAGTGCATCCTGTTTAGCAGTCTTAATACCTTAACTTACTTAGGCCTGTATTTCAATATATAGGCTACTGTATCAATCAATCATTCTTACGTTCGTTCATGTCATCACACAGCATACGAGTCATTCATGTTTTGAAATGCAATCAAGCATTTTAGTTTTAAAATGAAATAAAGCGACCCCTGAATAATTAGCGTTAACCATAAATAAACCGTTCCTTGTCGGCAATTACATTCACGAATGCAAACAAATGTTTTTTGTCTTTGCTGTAATAAAGGCTATACAAACTTAGAACAGACTCTCTGGTACGATTCTAATTTATGTAGTGTTGTTTACATTGTTCTAAACGGTCAGATGTTTATTTTATTTTAATCTAACAGCACCTGTTTGGCACACATAATATGCACTCAGCGCTATCTCCTTACCTTCTTTTTCTTGATCTCCAGTAGTTTCCACATCTAAATCAAATTTATTCCACACATTGATTTCCACTTTCCCTCCTGAGCAACCAGTAAACATTCCCCCGTTTCGAGTTTATTTTTCTTGTCCTCTGCATCCATTTTGCGGTCATGTGTTACGTTTTATTTTTTAAAGGGGTGGATTAGCTTTAATATTGCAGATAGATTGTGGGTTCTGTCAATGTAATTGTCTGCATCCTTTCCAATCCCCCATATATATATTTTTAAAAAGATTTCTTCCTTTATTATTTTACCCTAATCCTACCACTCCTCCCCTAAGTGGAGTAAAATAATGGTCAACATTACTTAGGCTTCTACTTACAGCTTATACATACTATATACATTTTACGGACACTGTATATTTTACATCAGTTATCTTTTTTTATTTGTGTTTATTTGTTTTTAGTCCCACCCTTCAGCTACCCTCAACCCCTCCCATCTATCTCTGAAAACCATCCAGTTTTGATTTCTAATTGCCATATTTTTCAACTGTGCTGTAATATTTCACAAAAGTACTGAACCTTTCTATTCTCATAGCTTCTACAGATTGTAAATTAAAGATTAATATTTTTACTAAAAGTATTATATTATTGATTGATTGACTATGGCTTTTCAAGTCACCCAGGAGTGCTATTTGCAGAGTTAGTTCCATGTAAATGTTGCAATTCTTCAGCCCTTCCTGAACCTGTGACCAAAAACAAGTTACATATGGGCAGTACCAAAATAAGTGATCTAATGATTCTGTCTCTTTGCAGCAAAATCTGCAGAGCTGGGATGGTTGTATCTCCCATATACATAACATTATATTGGTTGCATAATGTTGTATAATAATGTAAATTGAAAAACAATGTTTTGAATCCGGCGTTCTGTGTATCAGTTCATAAACCATGTGATATGGAATCGGCACATCGAAAAATACATATTTCAAACTATTTTGCAACCTGTATGGTGCAGCTGTCAATTTCTTTGTCCTTCAATTAAACTGATGTGATTATAACTAATTTATTGATGTGATTATGATAGGCTATAGGTCAGGCCCCATTAGTCACATAAAGAGAACAAGGATTGAGGGAATAGGGAATGTTTTTCCTAAACAAATGAGGGATTTCGGTAACAGAACTTTTCAGTCAGAAATGGCTGTAATTATGTTGCAGCTTCAGCAACACGGACAGCACGATAAACACTGTTGATGTTCTGTGGCGGTCACTGCAGCAGGCAGGAGAGAGGGGCAACGGTTGCTAGTCACAGAGGCACTCGCTGTCTGAGCCTGGCCCGGCACAATCAAATCAACTGCGGTCGGAATCTCTCTAGGGTCACTTGTGTGTCTTAATTATTTCATCAAACAGTGTGCTTAAAGCATCAGACAAGCTCAGTGCCTATAGTTGTTTTTATTAAAACACATAGGGCAGGGTTCCCCAACTGGCAGCGGTTTTATTTGCCCCCAACATTTTTGTTGTTGTCGGGGACAGCCCTAAAATACACAGTATTCAATGTGACTCAAATGCATAGTGAAGTCAATACATGGAGTTGAAACAGTAGGCCATTAAGTCAGCTAATGATTTAGCTCTGTATCTCTGTAACCTAAATAGTGTCCATGTAAATCAAACATCTAAATGGACTGGGAATCAGCCAGCAGTGCACTGTTGTTTTAGCCATTGAACTAAATGAGTCCTTGTCTAGCCTATCTAATAATAAGGACCCTGGGCCTAAACACCTCCCTCTGCAACTGGATCCTGGACTTCCTGACGGGCCGCCCCCAGGTGGTGAGGGTAGGCAACAACACATCTGCCACACTGATCCTCAACACGGCGGGCCTCTCAGGGGTGCGTGCTTAGTCCCCTCCTGTACCCCCTGTTCACCCACGACTGCGTGGCCAAGCACGACTCCAGCACCATCATTAAGTTTGCCGACAACACAACGGTGGTAGTCCTGATCACAGACAACGATGAGACAGCCTATAGGGAGGAGGTCAGAGACCTGGCAGTGTGGCGTCAGGACAACAACCTCTCCCTCAACGTAAGTAAGACAAAAAGGAGCTGATCGTGGACTACAGGAAACGGAGGGCCGAACACCCCCATTCACATCGCAAAACTGAAGGCAGGCAGAGTGCACTCAGACAGACAGAGACACAGAGAGAGAGAGCGAGAGACATTTTGATTTGAAAGTGATAGAAGGTCATCTGTCCCTCACATCTCAATCATCTGTCTGACTAAGCATAAACTAGGTTAAGAGTGTTTGTTTTAACTTAACAAGTTTATTTGATCACTTTCATATCAGTCAATCTCCTTTTATGAGCTTGGCTTCTTTTATAGCCACTCAGACAACTTAACCCCTGGACTGAAACTGTTTTGCTAGCCAGTACAGTAGCTAGATAGTAGTTCTGCTCCTAGAAGCCTGGCACGGGAGGCTATTCTCACATGGCAGGCTCCTAGTCTCTTCTTTGAAGCATAGCTACTGAAGGAGAATGCTCCAGCCAGTAGGCATCATCTGTATAGGAGGCAGAGATCTGAGCGCTCACTGACAGAGCCCTTATTGTCTCCAATACTGTCTGTCTGCTGGTACCAGCCAGGCCTGGCGACAAAGACACTTTTCAAAGAGCATTATACACAGGGATGAGAACATTAACAGCCAGGGCACCGGCCCCACCCCACCCCACCAGACAAACAGACATTGGGAGAGAAGAGAGACGCTGGAATCTACAGTACATTAACCTATTGGAAAACCATGGATACCGGTAGCTGAGAAAGCGTCACACTGTATTTGCCTCTTAGACCGACAGGAGCAAGGTCCATTTGGAGAGATCCTTTAACGTGGGCTATATTTCATCATGATTAGTTTAGCCCCAATGTCAGCTAGTTAAGATCGAAAGCTTCTCTTTGACAAATGCACAAATGAGCTCCACGATCCCATCACTTTTCCAAATCTAATAATAAGGGCCAGCTTTGGCAAAGTTGCACTCCTTAGGTTACTTTCTAAAAGCATTTATAAAAAGTTTTAGCTCCATACTGCCCTTTGGAAAAAGAGGCATTATTTACTAATGAGCTTTGACTATCTCCTTGGCTGTAATTACTTTAGAGGCTGGGGAGGGTGAGTTGCTGGACAAGGTTGGGTCTGGGACTGCTGCCCACTGTTCTGCCCAGTTGTGTGTGAAGGAACAGGGGGGAGAAGAGCCAGCTATTTCCCAAAGCACTGGCTGTCATTACCCATGTTGGCATGCTGCTCTGTGCTAGGAGCCTGTGAGGTATTGAAGTTGAGCTCTGAATTTTAGCCCTGGTCATGAACCGGTCATGGTCAGCAAACTACAGGAAGAGCAGCTGGCACAGCGCTAGGGAGAGAAGAAACACAACTAACCAACCCTGGCCTAGCCTAGCCTGAACGAAGCCCTGCATGTCTGCTCTTGATCTGCCTGACTGACTGACTGCATGACAATCTGACGCACATTTAGGATATATCTTAAGTGATTCAGGCAATTAAATGATGACAGCTGTCTAAACATTGATTCATTCTAGGGCTCTTCAAGCTAGATTATTAGTTTGACACATAGGTGAGAAGCATTCTATTAGTCATTTGTTTAATGAATTAACAATCACATGCCAAGTAGACACCACAGAGATACTGAGAGAAAGTGAAAGTCTGAAATGAGTTGTGTGTGTCATCATCCATTACTCGACAAGAAATGATCAAGTTGAAACAGCAGTCCATAAAATTCCTGAGTCTATATTTGTACCGCTCTGTAGTCTAAAAATAGCTGCCAGCTACAACAGAAAAGGAGAAAAAACATTACAAAATGAGATAAAGATGTGCTGGTAAGAAATAGAGAGAAAATGGACAGCGAGAGGAAGAACAAAGCTGATGGTGTTTTAACTAGAGGCCATGGCCACTGTTCTAGATGCCACGTCGCCCACAGATACTGTTCTCCCACGGTTCTCTCAGTCACTTCCTGACTGGGGCCTAATGTGACGGATGGTGTAATATGACATGACGTTATCCTTGTAATCTGTTGCAATGGTGAAGAAGCTTCTCTAGATCAGCCTACAATGGCTTTACAAAACAGATACATTGAAAAAACAGCAATACTCTACTGTACAGTACTGTCTTGTCCACACTCGATGATTATTAGTTCCCAATTTGCCTACGTACATTGACAGACTGCCTTTCACTATTACAAATCAAATCAAAGTTTATTGGTCATGTACAGTCGTGGTCAAAAGTTTTGAGAATGACACAAGTATTGTCTTCACAAAGTTTGCTGCTTCAGTGTTTTTAGATATTTTTGTCAGATGTTACTATGGTATACTGAAGTATAATTACAAGCATTCCATAAGTGTCAAAGGCTTTTATTGACAATTACATTAAGTTTATGCAAAGAGTCAATATTTGCAGTGTTGACCCTTCTTTTTCAAGACCTCTGCAATCCGCCCTGGCATGCTGTCAATTATCTTCTGGGCCACATCCTGACTGATGGCAGCCCATTCTTGCATAATCAATGCTTGGAGTTTGTCAGAATTTGTGGGTTTTTGTTTGTCCACCCGCCTCTTGAGGATTGACCACAAGTTCTCAATGGGATTAAAGTCTGGGGAGTTTCCTGGCCATGGACCCAACATTTCGATGTTTTGTTCCCCGAGCCACTTAGTTATCACTTTTGCCTTATGGCAAGGTGCTCCATCATGCATTTTCCATCACCAAACTGTTCTTGGATGGTTGGGAGAAGTTGCTCTCGGAGGATGTGTTGGTACCATTCTTTATTTTGGTCTGGAGACATGCTTGGCCAGTCCATCACCTTTACCCTCAGCTTCTTTAGCAAGGCAGTGGTCGTCTTGGAGGTGTGTTTGGGGTCGTTATCATGTTGGAATACTGCCCTGCGGCCCAGTCTCCGAAGGGAGGGGATCATGCTCTGCTTCAGCATGTCACAGTACATGTTGGCATTCATGGTTCCCTCAATGAACTGTAGCTTCCCAGTGCCGGCAGCACTCATGCAGCCCCAGACCATGACACTCCCACCACCATGCTTGACTGTAGGCAAGACACACTTGTCTTTGTACTCCTCACCTGCTTGCCGCCACACACACTTGACACCATCTAAACCAAATAAGTTTATCTTGGTCTCATCAGACCACAGGACATGGTTCCAGTAATCCATGTCCTTAGTCTGCTTGTCTTCAGCAAACTGTTTGCGGGCTTTCTTGTGCATCATCTTTAGAAGAGGCTTCCTTCTGGGACGACAGCCATGCAGACCAATTTGATGCAGTGTGCGGCGTATGGTCTGAGCACTGACAGGCTGACCCCCCACCCCTTCAACCTCTGCAGCAATGCTGGCAGCACTCATATGTCTATTTCCCAAATACAACCTCTGGATGACGCTGAGCACGTGCACTCAACTTCTTTGGTCGACCATGGCGAGGCCTGTTCAGAGTGGAACCTGTCCTGTTAAACCGCTGTATGTTCTTGGCCACCGTGCTGCAGCTCAGTTTCAGGGTCTTGGCAATCTTCTTATAGCCCAGGCCATCTTTATGTAGAGCAACAATTCTTTTTTTCAGATCCTCAGAGAGTTCTTTGCCATGAGGTGCCATGTTGACCTTCCAGTGACCAGTATGAGGGAGTGTGAGAGCGATGACACCAAATTTAACACACCTGCTCCCCATTCACACCTGAGACCTTGTAACACTAACGAGTCACATGACACCGGGGAGGGAAAATGGCTAATTGGGCCCAATTTGGACATTTTCACTTAGGGGTGTACTCACTTTTGTTGCCAGCGGTTTAGACATTAATGGCTGTGTGTTGAGTTATTTTGAGGGGACAGCAAATTTACACTGTTATACAAGCTGTAGACTCACTACTTTACATTGTAGCAAAGTGTAATTTCTTCAGTGTTGTCACATGAAAAGATATACTCAAATATTTACAAAAACTTGAGGGGTGTACTCACTTTTGTGAGATACTGTACATGGGACAGCAGAGTTGGCTGTGTGTGAGTGCGAGTGTGTTTGTGAGTACAGGAGTATGTGTCTGTATGAGGTGTGTGTGTGTGTGTGAGCTTGTGTGTGTTTTGTGTGAGTGAGTCTCTTTGTCTCGTACTACAGGAGATGGGCGTGATGGCTGTTCAACAGTATGATGGCCTGGAGATAGAAGCTGTCTTTCGGTATTTACATGACGACCAACTATGATTCAACGGTGCTATATTTCAATGGAAATTATTTATCTTGTTTAGTCAAGCAAACACATGCACATTCTCTTAAGTTGGTGACTAAATATAGATTTAGTTAGTGGCGACACATTTCAATGGTTCCCTGTGAAAATTAATAACTGTAGTATGTTACACATAACAATAACAACTGGTCCTAACAGATGGACTCTATTTCTACATGTGATAAAGCGATGGAATGTCAAACCTGTCTCCCAGCCAGCACAACCAGCTCAAGTATTCAACAGTTCCAGATGGCCATGACACATCTTTAGAACAACTCACTAAAACCAGAGCTACCATCCGGGACACTGGATTATTCTAACAGCCTATTGGATGAAAGTTCTGAGGAGTGTAGCGAGTAGTGACTGTTCATTAGAATGTAGGAGAAGGGAAACCGTCCTCTTTCTTCCATTCCCTGCAGGACTGGTGGGGTGAGGTTGACATTTACACTTCCACTCCCTTTGTTCTGAGACACTCCAACACCAATTACACTGTCTGCTGACAGGGCATTGTTTAAGTCAGACTCACTCCACCAGGGTACTGTAGGACCCTTCTCTCTAAAATAGCATTTATTCTCATTTCCTCTCCCCATGTCTGTTACTGTCTCTCTCCCCTGTCATCCCTTTCTTGCCATCTATCCATCAATCTGTTTTTGCCATGCCAAAACCTCCCAGCACAAGAGTTAGATTGTCAGCATGTCCAGTCAGTCTGCCTGATAAACTTGTGGGAAGCAGAGGGGGAAAGAGAGTGCACTGCACGAGCACAACACACGTCCCTCCCTAGGGATCTCAGAGATGTCAGAGAGGGGGAGGGGGAGAGTGTGACGAGGGGGGGGAGCCAAGGAGTCACACAGCATGAGCACGGTCCATAATGACATTGCATGTCGCGCACACACACCAACACCCACCCACCCACCCAGCCCCTCCTCCTCCCTGCAGCTGACCTATTTCCCAGCCATAATGCCAAATCACTGAGCACCATGGGTAAAATCTGTGTGAATAATAACAGAAACAATCCACTATTTGGAATCCCAGCAGTTGACTTGTTCCAATCTGTTGACCAGATATGGAAATGAGATTGGCAAAATAGATTTGGCTTTTTAGATTGAGAGGAGCTGGAGGGAGAGAATGAGAGATCAACAGCCTTGTCAGTTGGCTTGCTAGCTTGGGATGAGGGGAGCAGTGGTATTTATTCATCAATCCTAACTGGGGGAAAAGAAAGAGAGAGAGAGCGAGAGAGCGACTCTAAACCTACTTTGCCCTTGACCCCATCGCGTGGAAACAGGGCCATGGTCAAACTCTAAACCAATTACCAATGTTGATGATTGCAATAATACACCATGATGCCGCTGGTCATCATAATTCCCCAGAGATTGATTGGGATAGTTTATCTATCTAGATGGCAAGGCAGACAGTAGAGCCGTTTGTTTACAGATGAAAAAAAGAGCAGGATATAAGACAACAGCTAGACAATCAGGCTACTATGAGAGGAGAGCTGGAGAAGCTGGCACTGCCACACAATCAGGGCCTGGCACAGCAACAGCTGCCATACCCTTTCCTGGGTTTTTCAGGTTGAGTCAGCCAATGATGATCACTGTGCTGCCACCCTCCACTCAAGGCCCGGAATGGCTGACCCAATGATATCACTGTTCAACATGCTTGATCTTTCATAAGGAACCTATAGCTATCTAATCTTCAAGAGGCCAAGTGATATATGGTAATAAAGGCAATACATAAGCCATATTAAGATGGTGGGTGTGGTTTGGTTTGGTTTGCACTGACATGGTCATAAGTAGGTTTGGAAAAGACAGAGTGGAGAATGGCTCACCATGTGGCTCTGTGATTGGGTGGATCCATACATGGTGATGCCATTGGTTGGCGGGGTGGGCTGCGGCGTGTCTGATTGGACAAAGCCTCTTCTGTCGATGAGACTGAGGAGAGAGAGAGAGAAATATCTGAGAAAACCATTCAATAATATCAGAATATTTTAGATCCCTTCCTCGACAAGTGAATAGGGCTACAGCCCAAGTCTATTTCAATTCTGTACTTTGAGGCAAGGCAGACACTTGTAAATTTGCAGAGATTTGTGAATGAAATACTTTGCTTTCCTTGCAGACATCCTTACACAATGTAACTCAATGTTTATTTTTATTTTTTAGTCATTTAGCAGACACTCTTATCCAGAGCGACTTACAGTTAGTGAGTGCATACATTTTTCATACTGGCCCCCCGTGGGATGTTAAGAGGATACAGAATACAGATGAAATTAGATTACTTTCTGAGAGTCAATACTGTGAGTGAATAGGAGGGCCAAAAGAACCACACAGAGAAACCCACTAAAGGAGTGTTGTATCTAATGTTTCACTCTGTATGCAGGCTCTCCTCTTGGTATTCAATCATTGAGGTCATACAACGATCAGCGGAGTGAATCATTATCTCTGTTCTATCATTACCATTGCTGGGCTGACACATGGCTGGTTAGACATGAACCTGCTGAGGTTAAGCAAGATGATTGTCTTATAGTGTGTGTGTGTATATTTTTGTGTGGCTGAGCACATACAGTAGCAATCAAAGGTTTGGACACACCTACTCATTCAAGGGTTTTTCTTTATTTTTACATTGTAGAATAATATTGAAAACATCAAAACTATGACATGTAGTAACCAAAAAAGTGTTAAACAAATCTAAATATATTTTATACTTGCGATTCTTTAAAGTAGCCACCCTTTGCCTTGATGACAGCTTTACACACTCTTGGCATTCTCTCAACCAGCTTCACCTGGAATGCTTTTCCAACAGTCTTGAAGGAGTTCCCACATATGCTGAGCACTTGTTGGCTGCTTTTCCTTCACTCTGCCGTCCGACTCATCCCAAACCATCTCAATTGGGTTGAGGTCGGGGGATTGTGGAGGCCAGGTCATCTGATGCAGCACTCTATCACTTTCCTTCTTGGTAAAATAGCCCTTACACAGCCTGGAGGTGTCCCTGGTTCGAGCCCAGGTTGGGGCAAGGAGAGGGTTTGAAGCAAACTTGTTTCAATACCATGCACCTGTTACTGAGCTGTAGCATATTGACTGTGTGTGTCAGATTTTCCTTAACCCTTTGGTCACTGTGCTGGAGGTGGTGGTGTGTTTCTTCTCTATCTGGTCCATAGTGGGGCTGTCTGGGTTCCACACATACCTGATCAGCTCCAACCAGACCACAAACGAAGATGTTGGGTCATTGTCCTGTTGAAAAACAAATTATGTCCCACTAAGCCCAAACCAGATGGGATGGCGTGTCGCTGCAGAATGCTGTGGTAGCCATGCTGGTTAAGTGTGCCTTGTATTCTATATAAAATCACAGACAGTGTCACCAACAAAGCACATCCACACCATAACACCTCTTCCTCCATGCTTTACGGTGGGAACTACACATGCGGAGATCATCCGTTCACCCATACCGCGTCTCACGAAGACACGGTGGTTTGAACCAAAAAACTCCTATTTGGACTCCAGACCAAAGGACACATTTCCACCAGTCTAATGTCCATTACTCATGTTTCTTGGCCCAAGCAGGTCTCTTCTTATTATTGATGTCCTTTAGTAGTGGTTTCTTTGCACAATTCGACCATGAAGGCCTGATTCACACAGTCCCCTCTGAACAGTTGATGTTAAGATGTGTCTGTTAATTGAACTCTGTGAAGCATTTATTTGGGCTGCAATTTCTGAGACTGGTAACTCTAATGAACTTATCCTCTGCAGCAGAGGTAACTCTGGGTCTTCCATTCCTGTGGCGGTCCTCATGAGAGCCAGTTTCATCATAGCGCTTGATGGTTTTTGCGACTGCACTTGAAGAAACGTTCAAAGTTCTTGACATTTTCCGGATTGACTGAACATCATGTCTAAAGTAATGGACTGTCGTTTCTCTTTGCTTATTTGAGCTGTTCTTGCCATAATATGGACTTGGTCTTTTAGCAAATAGGGCTATGTTCTGTATACCCCCCCCCCTACCTTGTCACAACACAACTGATTGGCTCAAACGCATTAAGGAAAGAAATTCCACAAATTAACTTTTAAGGCGGCACACCTGTTAATTGAAATGCATTCCATGTGACTACCTATGAAGCTGGATGAGAGAATGCCAAGAGTGTGCAAAGTTGTCATCAAGGCAAAGGGTGGCTATTTGAAGAATCTCAAGCATAACATATATTTTGATTTGTTTAACACTTTTTTGGTTATTTCATAGTTTTGATGTCTTCACTATTATTCTACAATGTAAAACATTTTTAAAATAAAGAAAAACCCTTGAATGAGTAGGTGTGTCCAAACTTTTGACTGGTAGTGTATGTGTCTAAGGATGCATGTGTGTTTGTATAAGGGGGTGTGTGGGTATGTGTAAGCACATAGAGAGACTAAGTCACAGGCTAACCGTGTAAGGCAACATCCATTAATCAACATGGAGGGGCTGTGTGTTGATATGAAACAGTAACAGCTCAGCTCTAATGGAATGTGTGTGTGTGCAGGGTAATCAGTAACAGAGAGCCTGTTGACTCAGAGCTAGCTAGTCTCTTACAGAAATTCACCAGACAGGCAGGTGGAGGTGGAATTGTGAAAACTGAAGACAAATAGAATGTACACACACACAGCTGCCCCCCTCCCTTGCCCACCACCTGCCCAGTGAGTACTGTCCCTTGCCACACAGTAGAGTCATTACCAGTGAGTAAGGATGTGGGCAGTGGAGGCTGAGTTGGGACTGTTACACAGAGTGCAGGCAAACACACTGACAGGCCCAGAGCTAAAAGCTTTTTTAATTTCTCTCCACTGTTTATCCCCCGGTTCCCCCTGGCCCTGTACATATGTTTTACCTAGAAGAGACTGTCTTGCCTCACTGTTAATAACCTGCTACAGACGCACTGTACCATGCCTTTAGGCGTGTCCCAAATGGCATCCTATTCACTATAGAGCCCTATGGGCCCTAGTCAAAATAAGTGCACTACATAGGGAATAGGGTGCTATTTGGGACACAGCTTAGAGTTAAACCACCCGGTCAAGCCACAGAGGAGGTTCTGCATGTCGTGTTGTCTCGTCAGAGATGGGAAACCTGGGCTGTAAAGATAAGGGGAGATAGAGACTGAGTAAGTGTGAAGAACCAGAGCCTTCACCACAGAGTGTGTAGATTGTGAGGGGAGGCACTTAGGGTGTTGGGAGAGAGACAGAATGAGACCATAGGTCGTAACAGTCATGGAATGGGGTTTCAACTATGAGTTATACACACAGTGAGGTAATCCAAATGAAAAGGTTACATTGATGATGTGTCTGAATGCAAATTCTGTTGAGAAGGAAGTGTTGGATAAGACCAGCTAATAAGCAACCAATGGCTATGATTCTATAGATACAATGACTATGTGCATAGTTTGAGAGGTGCTGGAATCCTTTGTACTATCAGAGGTCTGAATGAGAAAAGCTGCATGCAGATGATTTCACAGCAGCAGCTCTCTAGAGACATCAAGATGAGCTCTGTGTGACAGACCTATTTTAGCTTTCTGACAATGCAGCAAATTACAGTCACGGGAAAAACAGTTTTCTCCTAGAATGAGAAGAACTATTGGATTTGAGATTTCTCTATGACAGAGGATGATTGCGTGCCATATGTTACATTCTGAGTAACTCCAAATATACAGAGCCAGATAATGTCAGACTCACATGCAAACACAGGCCTGTCCTTACCTGGGAGGTAGGGGTCCACACAGCGCTGCACAGCAGTTGGTGAAAATGTTTCCGTGGCTGTAGGGGTTATAATTGTCTTTCCCTTTTTTAGACGACCACAACCCTTTTATCTGAAACAGAAAAAGCCACAGTCAGAGCAGTAAACGAGGTGTTAAAAACATATTTGTATTTAAAAGGGAAGATCAATTTTCTCAGACTTTTGTCCGGGGGAACATTCGGTTCCTTCTGTATGTGTGTCTGTAATGTCCCAGGCAGCTCTACAGTGGTGAGTGATGAGGCAAACTGCCTGGAAATAAATGAGATCAGACTCAGATCTGGCTGTCTTCCACTAAACTCAACCATCCACTAGAGGAAAAACACAAACTGCTGCCTGGGTTTAGTAGTGTCTGTGTAATCTGGTAGGAGACAGGAGAAGGCTGGGGGTTTAGTAGTGTCTGTGTAATCTGGTAGGAGACAGGAGAAGGCTGGGGGTTTAGTAGTGTCTGTGTAATCTGGTAGGAGACAGGAGAAGGCTGGGGGTTTAGTAGTGTCTGTGTAATCTGGTAGGAGACAGGAGAAGGCTGGGGGTTTAGTAGTGTCTGTGTAATATGGTAGGAGACAGGAGAAGGCTGGGGGTTTAGTAGTGTCTGTGTAATCTGGTAGGAGACAGGAGAAGGCTGGGGGTTTAGTAGTGTCTGTGTAATCTGGTAGGAGACAGGAGAAGGATGGGAGTACGGATGAACCCTGCAGGTACTGGATGTCTTACACATGAGAACTTCAGCAATTTAAGAGAAATCCAGTTAAACACTTACCAATCCTCTTAACTCGTGAAGCAGAGAGAGAGTGTGTGTGTGTGTGTGTACATGTACTCACATCTTCGTTTGTGGTCTGGTTGGAGCTGATCAGGTATGTGTGGAACCCAGACAACCCCACTATGGACCAGATAGAGAAGAAACACACCACCACCTCCAGCACAGTGACCAAAGGGTTAAGGAAAATCTGACACACACAGTCAATATGATACAGCTCAGTAACAGGTGCATGGTATTGAAACAAGTTTGCTTCAAACCCTCTCCTTGCCCCAACCTGGGCTCGAACCAGGGACCCTCTGAACACACGAAGCATCATTACCTATCACTCATGCAAGGGGTAAATATACTTCAAGGTCTCAGAGCGAGTGACATCACCAATTGAAACGCTACAGGCGCGCACAGCTAACTAGCTAGCCATTTCACACCGGTTACGCTCTCTTATTGACAGACAGAGACAAACACACATCCGCTCTCCCTCCCTCACATACACACATCAAACACACAGAGCAGAGGAAAGGACATGTATACACATAGTACTAACAGCAGTAATGCCTGTCCTTTCTCTAGCTAGCCTGGCCCTCTGTTCATTTGGTAGTACAGCGGAACAGTGGTCTCAAAGAACAGGAGCAGCAGGATCGGAATCGGGATCAGAATCAGGAGCAGCGGCAGATCAGTGTTAGGGCTGGGCGATATGGCCAAAAGATGGCAGTATTTTTTTCACATTTCTGACGATATTTTATGTTTTTTGAATAATAAGTCCTAAATTTGCTTTATAAGTGGTGCGTGATCCTAGGGTGGCAACACATATATTAAGTGATTTTGATGGGTCTTTCTCCATAGTTTTTTTTATACTGTTCAACTAACTTAAACCAACAATTTCTGCATTTTCATCCATTTCTGCATTTCCTGAACTCATTTGAGATAATTTCCACACTGCCACGTAGGGCTGCGTGATATGGGCAAAAAAATCTAGGCCTTGTGTTTTTATTATTTTTGTTTGTTTGTATTTTACCCACTTTTTCTCCCCAATTTCGATCTCCCCAAGGTCGAGTCATGCGTCCTCCGAAACATGACCCGCCAAACCGCGCTTCTTAACACCCGCCCGCTTAACCCGGAAGCCAGCCGCATCAATGTGTCGGAGGAAACACTGTTCAACTGACGACCGAGCCAAGTAAAGCCCCCCCAGCCAAACCCTCCCCTAACCTGGACGACGCTGGGCTAATTGTGCGCTGCCCTATGGGACTCCCGATCACAGACGGTTGTGATACAGCCCGGGATCGAACCCGGGTCTGTAGTGACACCTCTAGCACTGCAATGCAGAGCCTTAGACCGCTGCGCCACTCGGGAGGCCCTAGGCCTTATTTTTTACCAAATGTTGCAATTGCGATATAACTCACAATTTAGATCAAAACACTTGGGTGAACTATTGGAATCATGGAAATAGAATGCTTATTCCAATTCTATAGTTAGAATATAATAGTGGGCACTTTGAATACAGTGTTTGACATGACACCAAATGAAAATGCCAGGGAGGAGTAATTGTGACAGGTTAGGAACCAAAGTGTTGGTCAGTGTTTCCTAGGGGTCCCTATAATATTTGCTACATTAAATGTTCTCTTAGCTACTTTATGGTTTCCCGGACACAGATTAAGCCTAGTCTACTCTATGTAGCTAACATATTCATATAGCTTTATGTAGCTAACATATTCATATAGCTTTATGTAGCTAACATATTCATATAGCTTTATGTAGCTAACATATTCATGCTATGCCTATTCCTCTTTGATTTAGAAGATACTATTGCACAAACACAATGCTGATTTAGGCCTACACCATTACTGCTATCAGGCTGTATAGCTAGCTACGTTTACTCTGACTCAGAACATTTATTAGCTAGCCAGCTAAATAGCGTTAGCGGCTAACGTGATTCAGCCACAACTTGCTAAGAAAAGACAAACTGTTTGCAGATGTAAGAAACACAAACTAATAGTGTAATTATAGAACACTTGTGAATTTATATTAAGAAGCAAAGAAACAGCATCGTTGTCATCAACATTGCTGCATTGATCATGCAGACTGAACGCAAGTGTCTCGTGGTTGAGCAACAACAAATGCGCTCCTTGAGTGACAGGGGGCAGGACTAGGTCTGTGTGGAAAGCGGCATGGAGAGAGAGAGAGAGAGATTACTCAAGTAGCGGAGTAAACTTTAAAATGGACGTTACAAACGGTGTATCACATTTAACAAACTAAACATTCAAATACCGTTATAGAAGGTAAAGTAAAAACCCAAAATCGGTCTGTGCATCTATACCGGTATATTGTAAAATAGGGTATACTGCCCAGCCCTAATCCGAGTGAGAGGAGTTATGCTGCTACTACTGTCATTCTGTCCTGACTCCTGAGCCAGCCTTGCATACACACACAGCCACATACAGAGACACCAGAATATATACACTAAAAGAAAAGAGACACACACGTACACACCACACACACACACAAACGTACACACACACGGGCAGGACAGAGTTAATCCAACTACTGTCTCCTCCATGATGACTTTCTGCCCCCTCTGCGGTCTCTCAAGGACAAGCAAAGGATGTCATCATTCACATCCAGGAGACTGGTGAGGTAGATGTTATCAGACCTCATTCCCCTGCCTGCCTTTTTAAAGCACTGTGATGCTGTACAACATTGGGCTGCTGTGTTATCAGCTGAACCTGCCACGTGGTTCCTCACCAGAGGGCCTGACGAGCTTCTTATCTCCCTGAGAGAGGAGAGAGCAGCAGCTGCAGCATGCCTACAGACAAATGAAGCCCTACAGTCAGAGATACAGACACTCACACATCAAGCAGCCTGGCTGGCAGATTATAGATTACCCTGGGGCCGGGCCGTTGAAATGGAGAATACAGTCTACAGTTGTCTGGGAGATGAGGGGTGACTAGCGACACACTAGTAGAGGTTACAGAGAAATCATAGAAGAGTTCCATGTTGAGGATTTGCACTTTTGTTGCTGAAAACTGAAAAGCATTCTAATAAATAAAAAATAAATATATTGTAATAACTATTTGATCTGTGCAGAAAAAAATGCCTGGCCGTAAAATAAAAGCAAAACTACTGTTCCTCTGCAGTTGTGCAGAGACTATGGGTTGGCTAGCAGCTAGCTTCTAGTAGACGTTTGAATAGTAGTGGCCACAGGGTCAGCCACAGGGTCAGCCACAGGGTCAGCCACAGGGTCAGCCTCTTCACCCCAGGCGGCTGTCAACCTCTCGGAGGACACAACAAGACAAATCCTGCTGTTTGGAACACAACACCACTGAGAGAGGGAGGGAGGGAGGGAGGGAGATAGGATTGAGAGAGAGAGATACTGTACAGAGAGATAGAGACAATTTAGATGGAGAGGGAGGGAGGGAGCCACATAGAGGCCAAGTTGAGACAGCATTCATGCACAGCAGAGCTGAGGAACAGAACAGGTCACAGCATGGAAGAGGCAGGGACTGGTAGGAGAAGGGAGAAGAGGAGAGAGGAAACACACAACTTGCATCCATCACACCATTGAGAAAGGATATCTGGCAGGAGTGTCTTTGAGTGCGTTGAGGAACCCTTCTCGATGGGATCCTGCAGTGAGAGACAAGAGGAGAGAGTTTAATAACAGTTAAACATTCTAAAGAATCTAAAACTTCAATCAGAAAAAAACCTTTAGACTGAGTGAGGTGAAAGGTCAGCTGCAGAGCTTGGCTTTGAATGGAGCTAAGCCAGATGTACTGTAGGCTGCTAGGGGATCGAGCCCAATACCCTCAAAGCTGACAACATACAACAATACCAGTTGGAAGGTCAAAATACCATGGCACCTACAATATATCTGACACTATGTTAGGGAGTGAGAGCCCTTCTCAAAAAGAGACAACATCGTTAGTCTACAGCGAAATGTTTTGACTAATAGGCTAGGATTATGAGAGCAGCAGAAGGGAACCTGTCTGTATTGGCACCCAAGATGATGATAAGCCTTCAGAGTATAAAGTGGCTTCCAGCTCTCCCTGTGCTGTGTATAGGCCTACACAGAATAATGCAGGGCGGATTGGATATCATACACCATAAACACTTAGTAGCTTTTCTATTCAGTCAGCAAGTTTATGCTGAAGCTGAGCAAGACAGAGCGCACCCACTTTAATTGCCATTCCATTTTAACTGCCATCTGGGATACAGGATAGAGAGAGTGGAGGAGAAGGAGCACAATCCAATACGGCCGTCTTGCCTAATTCAGTCACCAGAGACATTGATCTCTGTGCTGCTCGTCTCATCCATAACAGTGACAGGTCTTTCTAGCTAGGTGCCCTTCACAGCTACTCTGAGAGGACTACTGTAATTATATGGGCTGTACAGGAGAGAGGCTCGTTAACCTTGTTATAGTGACGTGGGCCGACTCAATCTAACACTTTGTAAACAGAGCAGACTTCTCTTCAGAAGGAGACTAGAATGTATATTTCGCCCACAAAGTCAAATTCAAGAGAAGGATACAAAAGGAGATCAACTGAAGAGAGAATTCTTTGTTGGTTCATTTGTGACTTTCGTTCTTTTCTCCATTTGTTTTCCCAGTTCAGCAGTCATCCATCCACTCTCCCTCACCCACACACAGACTCTACTATCTGCTCACTCTGGGGGGGATGGTAAGGAGCCAGAATACTGCTGGGCTTCACAACGCCCGCCCACTTAGAGCCTGCTGGCTAGCTGCTCTGACACAACCAGAACCAGGAGGAAGAGGTGTATATGGGTTACTTACGTAAGATGACATGTGTGATGACGAAGGCGAAGATGAAGATTGTGAGGAAGGAAAGGGAGAGGATGAACATGTAGAAGAAACGGTAGTTCCTCTTCCCAACACAGTTCCCCACCCAGGGACAGTGGTGGTCAAAACGCTCTGCGGAGGGAGAGAGAGAGAGAAACTCGCATTAAAGACACATTAAGCAAGCGCAATGATGCTTGGGAGAGAGAGATACACAGCGAGAAAGGGGGAGGGTGCAGAGAAAAGGGGAGGGTGCAGAGAGAGAGAGAGAGAGAGAGAGAGAGAGCGAGAGAGAGGGAGGGAGAGAGAGAGAGAGAGAGATGGAGAGGGATGAGAGAGAGAGGGAGGAGAGAGAGAGAGGGAGGAGAGGGAGAGAGAGAGAGAGAGAGAGACAGACATAGACAGAGACAGAGACAGAGAGAATGACAGAGACAGAAAGAATAAGCTGTAGCTGGAATTTTTATATTGAGCGTACTAGAGCTTTGAGACACTGCCTACCCGCCAGCGAGAGGAAGCTGGCTACAGTCAGGTAAAAACGCTGGTAGAGGCATTACATTTACATTTTAGTCATTTAGCAGACGCTCTTATCCAGAGCGACTTACAGTTAGTGAGTGCATACATAATTTTTTTACTTTTCATACTGGCCCCCCGTGGGAATCGAACCCACAACCCTGGCGTTGCAAACAACATGCTCTACTAACTGAGCTACATCCCTGCCGGCCATTCCCTCCCCTACCCTGGACGACGCTGGGCCAATTGTGCGCCGCCCCATGGGTCTCCCGGTCGCGGCCGGCTACAACAGAGCCTGGATGCCTCTGAAATACAGCAGTGCATTCAAAGACACACAGTATGTAAGCCACACCCACACACAGTTCACTGTTTCCACCTTGATAGCAAATTAAAGGTTGCTATTTTTAGGTAAAGTGCCTGTCCCTGGGGTGGGTGGGTAGGCGGGCGCGCGCACACACACACACAGCAGTGTGCCTTCTTGGTACCTTAACCACACTCTTACCTAAACCACCCTGGCAGAATGTGAACTGTGATTATAATGGAAATTATCCATATTCCACATTACATCTAAATTACAGGAAGTGAGCCTTCCCTTTGAGCCCTGGCATGATTAGCTACTGTTTCAGACTGCTGCTGCTGTCTATTCAGTAGGTCTGTGAATGAGTGGTACTGTGGGCACATGGATAATAGCATCCTGAGAGACCTCCATTAGGGACTTGTGTGACTGTGTGAGGACTTGGAGCTGACAGGAGGCAAATGACCACTATAGTAGAGTCAAGTGTGCCAGTACTGTTACCATGTAGACTGCTTCAGACACCACTCAGTACTGTTACCAGGCAGATTGCTTCAGACACCACTCAGTACTGTTACCAGGCAGATTGCTTCAGACACCACTCAGTACTGTTACCATGTAGACTGCTTCAGACACCACTCAGTACTGTTACCAGGCAGATTGCTTCAGACACCACTCAGTACTGTTACCATGTAGACTGCTTCAGACACCACTCAGTACTGTTACCATGTAGATTGCTTCAGACACCACTCAGTACTGTTACCATGTAGACTGCTTCAGACACCACTCAGTACTGTTACCAGGCAGATTGCTTCAGACACCACTCAGTACTGTTACCATGTAGACTGCTTCAGACACCACTCAGTACTGTTACCAGGCAGATTGCTTCAGACACCACTCAGTACTGTTACCAGGCAGATTGCTTCAGACACCACTCAGTACTGTTACCATGTAGACTGCTTCAGACACCACTCAGTACTGTTACCAGGCAGATTGCTTCAGACACCACTCAGTACTGTTACCAGGCAGAATGCTTCAGACACCACTCAGTACTGTTACCATGTAGACTGCTTCAGACACCACTCAGTACTGTTACCAGGCAGATTGCTTCAGACACCACTCAGTACTGTTACCAGGCAGATTGCTTCAGACACCACTCAGTACTGTTACCATGTAGACTGCTTCAGACACCACTCAGTACTGTTACCAGGCAGATTGCTTCAGACACCACTCAGTACTGTTACCAGGCAGATTGCTTCAGACACCCCTCAGTACTGTTACCATGTAGACTGCTTCAGACACCACTCAGTACTGTTACCAGGCAGATCGCTTCAGACACCACTCAGTACTGTTACCAGGCAGATTGCTTCAGACACCACTCAGTACTGTTACCAGGCAGATTGCTTCAGACACCACTCAGTACTGTTACCAGGCAGATTGCTTCAGACACCACTCAGTACTGTTACCATGTAGACTGCTTCAGACACCACTCTTTCAATATAAATAAAAGACTGAGAAGGGCAAAAAATAAATGGTGGCTTTGATGTTTGGTGATGAGGCTGTGTGTGTGCGCACACAAGCGTGTGTCTGTGTGCACGTCTGTGTGTGTGTGTTATGAATCTCACAAAGCCAGATTTCAATCTCAGAGAACCTAATGTCAGGATTCAGTTCTGGCAACATGCCTCCAAGATATGCCTGGGCATGCATGAATACAATACAATACAATACAATACAATACAAGGTGCATTTCGGAGCTTAGCTTTAAAATGTTGTGAAAACAATCGATATTTGGAACACTATCGAAATACACAGCTTTGGGATATTTGCCATTTAAATCTCCATGCTAGGAGCTATGTCAAGATAATCAAGAATGTGCATGCTGTATGAGGGAGCTGGGAGAGGAGCTTAAGGAAGAGAAAAGTAAACAGAGAATGTTATGAGTAGGGCTGTGACCGTCATGGAATTTTGGATGAAGGTTATTTTTCAGCCAAATGACTGCGATCACCGTTCTAATCGTTTGAATAGCAAAAAACAAACAAAAAAACAAGCACATTTGATCCTCTTCTCAGCTCTTCTCCGCTCCTGACTACATGTGCTGCTGCAGGGAGACGCGCTGCCTAGGCAAAGAGTCCATGACACGGAAGGGATGATATGGAGGAGAGGAGATAAGGAGTTGGCAGGGCGGAGGTGTATGTTTCATGATGAACTACTCATGGTGTGATTGTGGTAACGTACATGAACTCAAGTCCTTTTGTTCTCCCGATTTGGAATACCAAATGCCGACAGCATTACCTCCCGAGAGAATTCTCTTCGGTCATCGTCACGGTCGTGTATATTCCCCCTCAAGCAGACACCACGATGGCTCTCAAGAAACTACACTGGACTTTGTCCAAACTGGAAAACACATTTATTGTAGCTGGGGACTTTGATAAAGCAAATCTGAGGGAAAAACTACCAAAGTTTTATCAACACATCGCCTGCGCTACTCACTCATCGAGGACTCTTGACCATTGCTACTCCCCCTTCCGGGACGGCTACAAGGCCCTCCTCCGCCCTCCCTTCGGCAAATCAGATTACGCCTCCATTCTGCTCCTCCCTTCCTATAGGCAGAAACTTAAAACAGGATGTTCCTGTGGTAAGGAAATTCAATCAATCTTTATTATTATTAGCTCTCGTTCTCCATGGCTGACGTGAGTAAGACATTTAAGCGTATTAACCCTAGCAATGTTGCTGGCCCAGACAGCATCCCTAGCCGCGTCCTCAGAGCATGTGCAGACCAGCTGGCTGTAGTGTTCACAGTCATATTCAATCTCTCCCTATCCCAGTCTGTTGTCCCCACTTGCTTCAAAATGTCCACCATTGTTCTTGTACTCAAGAAAGCGAAAGGTAACTGAACTAAATGTCTATTGCCCCGTAGGACTCACTTCTGTCATCATGAAGTGCTTCGAGAGGCTTGTTAAGGATCCTATCACCTTACCTGACACCCACTAGCGGTTGAGAAAAGCCCTTGGCCAGTCACAGAATCTCAGACAAGCCAGACAGCGAGAAGCCTAGAGAGAGCATGCTCACTGCTCATCTGGAAGAGAGAAGCAAATCCTCCTGCTTCTTCCTCCACTGCTTCAGGGAGTGGCCTGTTATTCCACTACAAAAAGATAGGGAGAAAGGGACAGACAGGCTGCACTGCAGGGGGGGAATGAGGGTGTAGAAAGGGAGATGGAGGAGGATGGGAGAAAGATGTTCAGTGAAAACAATGTCCCTCCTCTGAGTGTTGTAAAAGCTCCAATCTCCCCACAACAGAACACACCTGGGGGGGGGGGAGTGATTCAGAGCGAGTTATGAAACAGGGGGGGGGGGCTCCAGATTTCATAATAACAGTTGGGTCATCCATCTTTCTCTGCTCTGCTAGGCGTTAATGAGCCCATAAATCCCTAGCCATATGGGGTCTCAGGAAAAGAACAGGAGAACACAACAAGAGGGAGGCTGTGTCTCTGTGGAGGCTGAGCAGTGATCACTGAGTCTCAGGAGGGAGGAACGGCTGGAAGGCGCATGCTTCATCTGTCGAACACCATAGAAGTAGATACATCTTAACATTCCTATGGAGGAATGTTACTCCCCATGACATGACATGACATAGCTTTTAGCTACGTGTATACAGTGGGGGAAAAAAGTATTTAGTCAGCCACCAATTGTGAAAGTTCTCCCACTTAAAAAGATGAGAGAGGCCTGTAATTTTCGTCATAGGTACACGTCAACTATGACAGACAAAATGAGAAAAAAAAATCCAGGAAATCACATTGTAGGATTTTTAATGAATTTATTTGCAAATTATGGTGGAAAATAAGTATTTGGTCACCTACAAACAAGCAAGATTTCTGGCTCTCACAGACCTGTAACTTCTTCTTTAAGAGGCTCCTCTGTCCTCCACTCGTTACCTGTATTAATGGCACCTGTTTGAACTTGTTATCAGTATAAAAGACACCTGTCCACAACCTCAAACAGTCACACTCCAAACTCCACTATGGCCAAGACCAAAGAGCTGTCAAAGCACACCAGAAACAAAATTGTAGACCTGCACCAGGCTGGGAAGACTGAATCTGCAATAGGTAAGCAGCTTGGTTTGAAGAAATCAACTGTGGGAGCAATTATTAGGAAATGGAAGACATACAAGACCACTGATAATCTCCCTCGATCTGGGGCTCCACGCAAGATCTCACCCCGTGGGGTCAAAATGATCACAAGACCTAGTGAATGACCTGCAGAGAGCTGGGACCAAAGTAACAAAGCCTACCATCAGTAACACACTACGCCGCCAGGGACTCAAATCCTGCAGTGCCAGACGTGTCCCCCTGCTTAAGCCAGTACATGTCCAGGCCCGTCTGAAGTTTGCTAGAGTGCATTTGGATGATCCAGAAGAGGATTGGGAGAATGTCATATGGTCAGATGAAACCAAAATATAACTTTTTGGTAAAAACTCAACTTGTCGTGTTTGGAGGACAAAGAATGCTGAGTTGCATCCAAAGAACACCATACCTACTGTGGAGCATGGGGGTGGAAACATCATGCTTTGGGGCTGTTTTTCTGCAAAGGGACCAGGACGACTGATCCGTGTAAAGGAAAGAATGAATGGGGCCATGTATCGTGAGATTTTGAGTGAAAACCTCCTTCCATCAGCAAGGGCATTGAAGATGAAACGTGGCTGGGTCTTTCAGCATGACAATGATCCCAAACACACCGCCCGGGCAACGAAGGAGTGGCTTCGTAAGAAGCATTTCAAGGTCCTGGAGTGGCCTAGCCAGTCTCCAGATCTCAACCCCATAGAAAATCTTTGGAGGGAGTTGAAAGTCCGTGTTGCCCAGCGACAGCCCCAAAACATCACTGCTCTAGAGGAGATCTGCATGGAGGAATGGGCCAAAATACCAGCAACAGTGTGTGAAAACCTTGTGAAGACTTACAGAAAATGTTTGACCTGTGTCATTGCCAACAAAGGGTATATAACAAAGTATTGAGAAACTTTTGTTATTGACCAAATACTTATTTTCCACCATAATTTGCAAATAAATTCATAAAAAATCCTACAATGTGATTTTCTGGATTTTTTTCTCTCATTTTGTCTGTCATAGTTGACGTGTACCTATGATGAAAATTACAGGCCTCTCTCATCTTTTTAAGTGGGAGAACTTGCACAATTGGTGGCTGACTAAATACTTTTTTCCCCCACTGTATACAGAGCACACAAACATGCAGAAAACAAACAAACGGAGACATAGGCAAACACATTTGCACACACAGGAGTACATACATAAAGTGAGGGAAAAAAGTATTTGATCCCCTGCTGATTTTGTACGTTTGCCCATTGACAAAGACATGATCAGTCTATAATTGTAATGGTAGGTTTATTTGAACAGTGAGAGACAGAATAACAACAAAAAAATCCAGAAAAACGCATGTCAAAAATGTTATGAATGTATTTGCATTTTAATGAGGGAAATAAGTATTTGACCCCTCTGCAAAACATGACTTAGTACTTGGTGGCAAAACCCTTGTTGGCAATCACAGAGGTCAGACGTTTCTTGTAGTTGGCCACCAGGTTTGCACACATCTCAGGAGGGATTTTGTCCCACTCCTCTTTGCAGATCTTCTCCAAGTCATTAAGGTTTCGAGCCTGACGTTTGGCTACTCGAACCTTCAGCTCCCTCCACAGATTTTCTATGGGATTAAGGTCTGGAGAGTGGCTAGGCCACTCCAGGACCTTAATATGCTTCTTCTTGAGCCACTCCTTTGTTGCCTTGGCCGTGTGTTTTGGGTCATTGTCATGCTGGAATACCCATCCACAACCCATTTTCAATGCCCTGGCTGAGGGAAGGAGGATCTCACCCAAGATTTGACGGTCCATGGCGCCGTCCATCGTCCCTTTGATGCGGTGAAGTTGTCCTGTCCCCTTAGCAGAAAAACACCCCCAAAGCATAATGTTTCCACCTCTATGTTTGACGGTGGGGATGGTGTTCTTGGGGTCATAGGCAGCATTACTTCTCCTCCAAACACGGCGAGTTGAGTTGATGCCAAAGAGCTCGATTTTGGTCTCATCTGACCACAACACTTTCACCCAGTTCTCCTCTGAATCATTCAAATGTTCATTGGCAAACGTCAGACGGGCCTGTATATGTGCTTTCTTGAGCAGGGGGACCTTGCGGGCGCTGCAGGATTTCAGTCCTTCACGGCGTAGTGTGTTACCAATTGTTATCTTGGTGACTATGGTCCCAGCTGCCTTGAGATCATTGACAAGATCCTCCCGCGTAGTTCTGGGCTGATTCCTCACCATTCTCATGATCATCGCAACTCCACGAGGTGAGATCTTGCAAGGAGCCCCAGGCCAAGGGAGATTGACAGTTCTTTTGTGTTTCTTCTATTTGCGAATAATCGCACCAACTGTTGTCACCTTCTCACCAAGCTGCTTGGCGATGGTCTTGTAGCCCATTCCAGCCTTGTGTAGGTCTACAATCTTGTCCCTGACATCCTTGGAGAGCTCTTTGGTCTTGGCCATGGTGGAGAGTTTGGAATCTGATTGATTGATTGCTTCTGTGGACAAGTGTCTTTTATACAGGTAACAAGTTGAGATTAGGAGCCCTCCCTTTAAGAATGTGCTCCTAATCTCAGCTCGTTACCTGTATAAAAGACACCTGGGAGCCAGAAATCTTTCTGATTGAGAGGGGGACAAATAATTATTTCCCTCATTAAAATGCAAATCAATTTATAACATTTTTGACATGCGTTTTTCTGGATTTTTTTGTTGTTATTCTGTCTCTCACTGTTCAAATAAACCTACCATTAAAATTATAGACTGATCATTTCTTTGTCAGTGGGCAAACGTATAAAATCAGCAGGGGATCAAATATAATATAAATATAATCAAAAATAATTTCCCTCACTGTACATACATACACCCACTTCACCTTCAGTCCGCCCACCCTCCCAGCATGTGTGGCCCACACAGTGACTCACCGACACAGTTGTCACAAAGGCTGCAGTGAGAGGCACGCGGTGGTCTGAAGATCTTACAGGTGAAGCAGTACTTGAGCTTGACCGTCTGCCCATTGATGACCACCTCTTTCGTCCTGGGGGGCGGCCGGTACCCCGAACTGGAGCCCTTGGCTACGTCTGTCAGGGAGAATCATTAGACTTAATCATCGGGAAATTAAATTGCAGTCTGCTACTTTTGACAAACAATACACTTCAACCCTCATTCATTGTCATGCTATTGAAGAGTAGACTAGTTCCAACATATATACGGTATGGGAGGAGGGTACTACAGTCCTGCACAAAGCTGGCACTGTAGAGCGTTACAGGGTCTCCGTCCATACAAGCCTCTACAGGATCCAAAGTCAAGTCAAAATGGAACTGTCACAATAAACTAGACCTATTTGTTAGTAGTGTACTGGTCATGTGAACAGTAGAATGAAAAGCCTTTTAAAATGTTGGTTCATTACTAAATTCATGTCTGGCTCTGAAAGCAGAAAGAGAATCAGAACTGTTCAGCACCTGCTCTCCTGACGTCACACTGTGACTCATCTATTCTGACCTGCTCAGAACAACATGCACTTCACTCTGCACTCCGCTCACTGTAAATGTCTCAGCTGGAGGAAACCCAATTTGGCAAGTCACAGGTTATTTTCTCAGCAGAAATAAATAAAATAAAATCCCTCATAGTGGTAAATGTAGTAAAACGGCGTTGCAGCAGGGAGGATGATCACGATGAGAGAAATTGCTGTGTGGATGATTATGTAAAAATGATGATGTAGGTAGGGTATTCACCCATAAAATGATTATTTCATTCAAATGTATTGATTCAATAGAGAATTGCATCAGAAAAACAATAGTCCAAACCCTATGTCTCTACCATATATGGTTCAAAGGTTAGACAATTTACTTGATTTACTAGATGAATTTAGCATGTTTAGAGTGAATGGAATTTCATCACAGGCATGATCAAAAAGTGGTCACTGCTCAATAGAACTCTGTGGCGCTGCTCCGCGGCAGAACGGCGCTTACTTCGAATGACAACTGACAAGCTAACTAATGGCTGCAGGTTTCTGAGTGAAAACATGGGCTTTTACTAAATGAAATCCGCAGAATACAAAACACATTTATTTACACATTTCAATATCAACCCTCCGCGAAGACAATCTGTTCCTATTGTTTATTTCAAGTATTTTCCTTTAAATCGCCATAGAAACACCCCCTCAATGTAGATTGATCACCAATAAAACCAATGAAAGCCAAGGATCTGGAGATGAAAATGACGTGGGTATCAAGTTGATTTTGATTGGTCCAACATGCGGAAACACCTCCAAATGGTACCACCTCCCAAAGCCAAATATGGAAGAGATACAACCAAGAGAGGCGTGGTCTAAACTAGCAATGGTCACAGCGAATTAACGTTATTTCATCAACACTGTCAAATACAAGTACAGTTGAAGTCGGAAGTTTACGTACACCATAGCCAAATACATTTAAACTCAGTTTTTCACAATTCCTGACATTTAATCCTAGTAAAAATTCATTGTCTTAGGTCAGTTAGGATCACCACTTTATTTTAAGAATGTGAAATGTCAGAATAATAGTAGAGAGAATGATTTATTTCAGCTTTTATTTCTTTCATCACATTCCCAGTGGGTCAGAAGTTTACATACACTCAATTAGTATTTGGTAGTATTGCCTTTAAATTGTTTAACTTGGGTCAAACGTTTCGGGTAGCCTTCGACAAGCTTCCCACAATAAGTTGGGTGAATTTTGGCTCATTCCTCCTGACAGAGCTGGTGTAACTGAGTCAGGTTTGTAGGCCTCCTTGCTCGCACACGCTTTTTCTATAGGATTGAGGTCAGGGCTTTGTGATGGCCACTCCAATACCTTGACTTTGTTGTCCTTAAACCATTTTGCCACAACTTTGGAAGTATGCTTGGGGTCATTGTCCATTTGGAAGACCCATTTGCGACCAAGCTTTAACTTCCTGACTGATGTCTTGAGATGTTGCTTCAATATATCCACATAATTTTCCTTCCTCATGATGCCATCTATTTTGTGAAGTGCACCAGTCCCTCCTGCAGCAAAGCACCCCCACAGCATGATGCTGCCACCCCTGTGCTTCACGGTTGGGATGGTGTTCTTCGGCTTGCAAGCCACCCCCTTTATCGTCCAAACATAACGATGGTCATTATGGCCAAAAAGTTATATTTTTGTTACATCAGACCAGAGGACATTTCTCCAAAAAGTACGATCTTTGTCCCCATGTGCAGTTGCAAACCGTAGTCTGGCTTTTTTATGGCGGTTTTGGAGCAGTGGTTTCTTCCTTGCTGAGCGGCCTTTCAGGTTATGTCGATATAGGACTAGTTTTACTGTGGATATAGATACTTTCGTACCTGTTTCCTCCAGCATCTTCACAAGGTCCTTTGCTGTTGTTCTGGGATTGATTTGCACTTTTCGCACCAAAATACGTTCATCTCTAGGAGACAGAACGCATCTCCTTCCTGAGCGGTATGACGGCTGCGTGGTCCCATGGTGTTCATACTTGCGTACTATTGTTTGTACAGATGAACGTGGTACCTTCAGGCATTTGGATATTGCTCCCAAGGATAGTTTGTTAACAAGAAATTTGTGGAGTGGTTGAAAAACGAGCTTTAATGACTCCAACCTAAGTGTATGTAAACTTCCGACTTCAACTGTATATTAAGGTTATAATACTGTAGAGAACAATCTAATGATTATTTCTATGTGATATATAATGACATTGGGCAAAGAAAACAAAGTTTTGACATTAATTTCATAGCTCCCTCTTGAATTGCCCAGTTTTTCTCTACATTCTAGAGCAGTGAGTGAACGCCCTATATGATCATTTGAAAAGCACAAAAGGTATAACTGCGATGCTTGTTTCTGTAGCCCTCTCTCGTGTGGGAGTGTGTGTGGGAAAGTGTGTGTGTGGGTGGATCATTGCGTGCCTCTAAGCACAGTGGCCGAGCTGGAGTGGTGTGTGTGCACAACTCAACAGGAGCACTCTTTTCAGCCCATGTTCAACGTGATCAATGCACTCCCTCCATCTTCTCCTCTCCTCCTGTGTACAGAATGAGAGATAGTCAACCAGGAGGTGAGTGAATGAGTGGGAGGAGAATTAGCAACTCTAAATCCGTCAAAGAGCTTCCAACAGAGAGTAGAAAGGTCAGGTGATGTTGCTGAACTGAACTGCATGCTATTCATACTGCGTAGAACAGTAACACATACTGTAATGTACTGTGCTCAATAGAGACCCATCATCATTATTCTATTTTCATTGTATTGACGTCTATGAAAACATCATGTCCATAAATGCCATTCAAGGCCATCAAGCCGCCTCTAAAATGTGAAGCGTCACAGCATAAGGACTGTATAAAAATCACATCTAGCCTCACATACATTAAACAGCACCCTAGTTCTCCATTATATGTCTTTCAAGCACTACGACACCGTCTGTGATGAACAGCTAATGAAATGTTCATGGACTGACTGGGCATGGAGCCCAGACTACTGCTGCTGCTTCTTACAAACATAACTCACTCATTTCACTCAGCTAGACCACCAAAAAAAAAAAAAAATCTATACAGTTACATACTGTAATATCATTTTTGGACGATATTATAGAGATATGACTTTTTTTGCTACTGTAGGTAGCGTTAGCTAGCGCTAGTCGGCTGTACCTGCGCCAAAATTCCAGTATTTTTATCCTATAGCTTGTTCTCCATCTTTTTAAAAATAGTGAACCAAAATGTTTTCAGAGAAAACTCATTTTCTCATGCTCTCGTCTCTCTGCAGCAGACATATAGTGAGCAATCCTTGGGCAGGCCGCCTAAGCGCTTTTTCGGGTCGCTTAGTCCAAATGGTGTAAAAAATATATGTTTTATAATATAATCTTTCAGAACTAACAATCACCAAAATAAAAGCTAGACAAGTCAGGGAGAATTGAAAATTCCAAAAACAATGAATTTGCGGTATTCATTTTGTTATGCTTGAGCAAAGGACCACAGCATTATCCGTGGCAAAATGCATAGAATTGCAAGAAACTGGCTTTAAAATTGCAAAATGTTCTCTTAGCTCCATTGAATAATATGTAGAATCGCAGGAAATTAGCGTTAAAACTGCAACATTTTCTCTCAGCTGCATGGCAAAATGTGTACAATTTTAAGGAAATTAGCTTTAAAACCGATGGCTGACCGCGCTCATTGCCAAGCCCCAATCCACGTCCCCTGCCTCGCCCACCACCTAAGCCCCTTTTTGAGCCAGAAATAACCCTGGTTTGGAACGTCAAAATTGCAATAAAACCGCAGTATCTAATCGCAATACATATCGTATCGACACCTAAGTATCGCGATAATATCATTTTGTGAAGTCCCTGGCAATTCCCAACCCTAACCACCAGCATCAACTGTAAAGCACTGTCTAGCTAAAACTGTATCAACATGTACTGTAAGCTGAACGATTAATAGACAAAGGAGGAATAACATTGAGTGTAGCCTAATCCTTTTCTATTGTACTATTGACTGTGAAATAAACATTCACCTACTTCTCTCTCTCTTGTCTAAAATATCAAATCTAACGCACAAACACACCCAGGCAAATACTGAAAGCTCTAAATGTCTGGATCTCAATAGCTAGTGAGGTTAAAGGCCATGCTGATTTATGATCAGTGCTGGGTGTGTTTGTGCTGATCTATGATCAGTTTTTCCTTTTACATAGATCATAATAAATATAATTATGGACAGATCCTAGATCCACACTCCTACTCTGAGAGGCTTTGTGGATAGGGCCCAGGGCACCTGTATCCTCATGCATCATTTGGAGCCAGATCTGCTGACAGCAGATAGGCTAAACAAGTTGAACCACCTTTACAAGGAAAGAATCCCAACTAATTTCTCTAAATTTCTGTGAAAACAAGCCTCTACATCAGCCAATGATGTGCTCCTTCTCCGCTCTCAGCCACAACTTCTAGTTTATGTTCACACTTCAGACACCTCCAGGAGGAAACGGGATGTCAAATTAGCTTTTCTGCTGACTGGGAGTGTTTGTATAAGGTGTGATCATGCCAGAACATTTAATATTTCACAGATTGGATCTAGTAGTTTTTCTGTCCGAGACAGAGAGGATGGAGTTGGAAGGAGGAGGGTAGTGATAAAAGGGGTTGATGAGGGAGGGCAGTGGTACAGCTTAACCAGCACACAGAGAGGCAGAGACTGAAGGAGGATTCAATGTCGGCCAAAGCATCCAGCCAGCCCCATCTCGACGGGGTATAACGAGAATGTAATTGCTATCCTGCAGGGATAGGGAGGTGATGGGGA